CAGCAGAGAAATTGGCGAAGAGTGCTCTTCAGGGACAATTTATTTATACCCACTTGGGTGTCCCACTTCTTCTGCATTAGATCGCTCATGTAACATCTGATAACAAGCCTATAGTCACTGTAGGGAAGACGAAGTGGTGCCACAGATTTGTTGAGAGCTGCTTTTGATGCTGCATCAGCCATTGTGTTACCAACGATTCCACCATGGCAAGGTATAAAAAAAACAATGTCGTATTGGCCAGTGGATGAGTAGTGTTGACATTTTGTAGTGCCTGTGGGCATGACAATGAATCGGAGAATATGATAAATTGTTTGCATTGTTTTTGTTGCTGAATATATTCGAATGCTGTGTGTATAGATGTGGCTTCAGCGGTGAATATGGAGCTATAACTGGTATTCTAGAAGATATAATTATTGATCCAACGACAGTGGCACTAACAGTTGTGCCACCATCCTTTGATTGTGAGTGGTGAGAATAATATTTGGATCTTAATTGAATGTACTCCTGTTGGAAGACTGATTGGTTTGTTTCGGATTTTCTAAAATTAGCAAGTGTTAGGTCCATCGTTGGTTTGACATGTTGTTTATTTACTACAGCGTTTTTTACAAAAGGATTCTAATCGTACTAAATGATCAATAGTACCTCGATTTTTGCAGTAACCACATTGCATATTTGTGATAAGTTTGTTGGTTTCCAAATACCAAACTAATCTGTCATTTACCATTCGTTCCATTGTTTTACAGACACAACTGGTTAAAGATATAGGGCGGTAATTATGGGGGAACCTGTATGATTCCAGTCGGGCTTTGGTATCGGGACTACAATGGCATTGTGCCAAGGAGGAACAGTCCCTAATGTCCATATTTGATCACATATCTAAAAGGATTACGAGACATGATTCAGGTTAATGTTTCATTAGCTGGTAGTGGATATTATCAGTTCCTGTTGCTGTATCATGAGCTTGCCCAAGGGCAGTTTGTAGCTCAAGTAAAGAAAAGACTTCATTATAGTCTTCACCATTGTCAGACTTAACATTTATTTTATTTTGTTCATGTTGTTCCTGATATTTTTGAAATTCAGGGACATAATTAGATGATGGAGAATGTTTGGCAAGTGTTTCACCAAGTTGAAATATATGCGATGTCTATTTTATCAGTTTATAATTGATCACCGTCCTTCAGATGGTGAACAGGAGATTTGGAACCGTTGCCTTTCATTTTGTGAAACATGTTCCGCACCTGGGACACCGGTGTACGGGAATTTATTTTGGAGACACGGTGCCTCCACGATTGACGCTTATTTTGTTTAAAAGTGCGTCGAGCCTTGGCATCTGTAATTTTGACTTTATCTAAATTATGGATTGTGGGATGTTTTCATGGAAGTGCTTTGTAGTTGTTTGGTAACTAGAGCTCACCCTTTTAACAAATTGGCTTGTTTACACCCCCTTTAACCATTCTTCTGGTGTCTTACCAGTATGAAATATAATATTGAACAAATTAAGCTGAACAGTCATCTTTTCGCCTGATAATGCCGACGCGCCGTACCATTTCAACTCACTCCCTTTTTGCCTGACCCAAGCCGAGCCGGGGAGACTCGTCTTTGTCCGACCGGTCCTCTCTCGTCTCATTCGTCACCACTCGCCCCTTTCCGTAACCTGCAAGAAGACTCGTCCCCGATCAATGAATGTTATGTGCGAAAATACGACAAATCAATCAGAATGCGCGTATGATTTCAAGTTCTCCGTCAAAGAATCCCTATTTTTTTATTTTACATATGTCTTGCCCAAAATATACCCAAGACACAGTTAAATGTGTTCAATCAAACTGGATAATTCCGCATGTCCCGATGTGCTTTAAGTTGCATCTGAAATTTATATAATATATGAGGAAATACATGTGAACCATTACGCAACGAGTTGACAATTGTTTTAGTTATGCCCGTTTGCGCTAAGGTGAGGTGAGGTGAAATGGGGTTTAACGTCCCAAGATTATTGCACTTATATAGCGACGTGCATGTACGTGTGTGTGTTTGTGTGGCTGCTTGTACTAGTCCGGACTGATGCCGATTTTATAGTGCTAGCTCACTGAGATACCATGCCGCAGTTTAACATGAATATCCTACTCGGGCAAAGTATACTGACTCCGAGCCGACCAGTCCTTGTTTTAGCCCCTTAATGCCGAGCGTCAGACAGGGTAACAACAAGTACCATCTTTTAACGTCTTTTGGTATGACGCGGTCGGGGATCGAACCCCGGACCTTCCGCTCTCCGGGCGGACGCTCTACCACTAGACCACGGAAGCGGTCCGTTTGCGTTAAGACGGAACCCGGTCGCAAAAATGGCCACGAGAGGGGCACGAGTCGCTTTTCGGCTTGTTCCGGAATAACACGAGTTGGTAATGAATGCTCTCGTCTGGCCTGACCCAGGCGAGGCCCCTCGCCTTCCGACCGGCGCCGACGTTCCCGTCTGCTTCACCCAAGTCGAGCCGGCGAAACCCGTCTTAGTCGGGAGCAGGCGCACCCGTGGTTTGGGGTTACGCGAAAAGCAAATGTTTTCACATGGACTTCTTTTTGGGGTCTCTTTTATTACTCGATAACAACCAGCGATGGTACATGAGTTGTACAACGACAGAAACTACAGTAATAGATGTACAGCTAGATGTCATATACGGTAGAAAACGTCACAGTATAGCATTCAAATGTCTGAGGAACTTTGATAGTACCTACTTCACCATTTGTGAATAGTTTACGATATCTAATTATGTTTGGCCAGTGTGTGTAGTCTTCATTAACACATTCAGTGCATAAGGTTAAAGGTGTATTACAGCTGAATAAATAGTGGAACTCGTCACCAATTACTTGGGAGTCACACGATGTACATATCCTTTGTTCTCGTGGTATAGTTTCCAATCAGCCTGTTTCTGTCGGTAGTTTGTAGTTACCAGTTCCAAAAACAGTAAAGGTTTAGAAATGTGATCATGGAGAAGTAAATATCAGCCAGGGATAATATGACCAAGTTTTTTGTGTTTCAACGTAAATGATGAAATCTTATTATTAATTTTAATGCTTAGTGGTACTCTACCCAATTAACCAATTCTACATTGGGGCTTTTTTGTCTGAGTGTGTTCGTATATTTGTATGTATGAATATATACCGGTACATGAATAACTAGAAGAAGTCGAGCCGGCGAAACCCGTCTTTGCCCAGAGCAGGCCACCCGTGGTTTGGGGTTACGCGAAAAGGAAATGTTTTCCTATGAACTTCTTTTCTTTTCTTTCTTTTATTACTTGATAACAACCATCGGTGGTACATGAGTTGTACAACAACAAAGATTACAGTAATAGATGTACAGCTAGATGGCATATATGGTAGAATACGTCACAGTATAGCATTCAAATGTCTGAGGAACTTTTACTGCTCTTTTTAAAAGTACCTACTTTACCATTTGTGAACAGTAACAGGTAATACTTACTTACACCAGTATGGTATGGCCCGTTTAGCAATTTTAATGCTTAGTGGTACTCTACCCAATTCGCCAATTCTACATTTAGGCTTTTTTGTCTGAGTATATTTGTATATTAGTATGTACATAAATAACTAGTAGGCATTCAACAGCCACTGCATTTCCACGTGTGCATAGTCTGGCCTTAAAGCTACAATAAAAACACAAACTTTGGCAAGCACAGCAAGTTCCTTTTACGAGGACAGTAAGTTATACACACCAACCCCAGCCCCGCGCCAAATGTCACCTACTCGAAAACATCTGTGCATGATCCGGACCTCCACGCACAACTTTTCCCTGTACCGCGATACGATGGAGTTCGAAAATATGTATAGTTAGATAAAATAATGACATCTGATATAGGGGGCACGAATAATCAAAAAGGTTAGTGAGTGAATTTGGTGCATTTGGTTCCTTTAAGAGTACTGCAAAACATCGAGGTTGCAGGCTATATACATTAATAGAAACCACCCGTTATATATATTTATCATACAATGGGTAGGTTTCTCGGCAGGATAAAGCCAACAGATAAAAACGATATATGTTTGGGTAATATGCGGATAGAGATGCAAATACCAAAGGTCAAGTAGGGACTACTTTCCGTGTTTATAAACAAACAAACAAACAAACAAACAAACCAATTTTATTAAACTCATGAATAGTTGTGGTATCTGACTCGCTTTCGCTCGTAAGATACCACAACTATTCACTCGTTTCATAAAATTGGTATTACACGGGAGCTCGTTTAGTATTATCTGCACTGTAGATATCGCTGCAATGAAATTGCATCACAATGCTTTGCAGACCATCGTGACGTCATTGTTACCATGACGTCACAATCAAATGACATCACTAATTGCTCTGCTACTGAAGCTGCAAGCAGTACTTTTTAAACACTGCTTATTACTGTCAACAAACTGAAAAAGTTGGAAGAATGATGTTGGATGATAAATAAAATCTCACACTTGTTGACAAAAGTGGGAAAAAACCTCGACAAGCTTCAGAGTTTACCCACTTTTATCAACTCGAGTTGATATATTTGATATCAAAAGACACTCGGGTGAGATTCTCTCTCTCACAGAGCAAGACCTGTACATGTGTCGCAATACGTTACATAAGAAATAGCAACTGCAGTGCGACGTTCTTGCGAAATATACACGAATATTCATGAATCACCGTCTCACTGACATTCGAAGTAGGCCGGTCCCCCTTTACCTTGTTTACACAGTCAATGAACTGGTCTGTCTGTTAGAGGTAAAACGGCACTGCGTCAAAACTGCACGAAGCTGAAACGGTAATATCTGTTGAATGTGTATTACGTGTGTTGTCTACGTTGAATGAATGTATGAACAGAAAGACATCTTTTGAATATTGTTAAATAGGCTATAAAGGTTTCATAAATGGTAAAATAGTGTTTGTTTTGCTCACACATATCCAAACATAAATAGATCTAGAGCTGTTTTAGCCAGTGAAATATTTGATCCAAGTTGGTGCTGTTTTGACGCGGTTCCGTTTTAGCCGTCTGTCGTACGTTGAACGTTGTGCAAAAGAATATTTGTTTTGCTTTGACAGCGATATATAAAGGAAGTGACTTTGTGGGATTTTACTCGTCACATCAGCATGGAGATCTTGGGGCTAGTGTACGTCCCGCTGTGTCTCCTGCTTGCTTTAGCGACAGCCGTTCTGTTATACATGTAAGTTGACAGTTGTTCATAATATCCATGTTCTGCGCTTTTTTCAGGTGCCCCAACTTGCCTCAGGTGTCTCAGATGGACATTGACAATCTCACCTGAATGGGTTTTTTTTCCATTAGATCTAATTAACCAGTGTCATGGGTGTTTTCAGTGCAGCAGCTGCTCTGTTGCGACATCTCTCAGGATATGTGATGTCATAGCTGTGCAATTGTCATGTTTGCTCCTCAACAAATGTTGGTATGGGTCCGGCGGAGTAGCCTTATCTAATCAGTTGTTGGAGCGTTGGCTCATCATGCGGAAGGACCGGGATCGAATCCCTCCATGATCCCCCATCGTGATACTCTGTAATTGCAGGTCACTAACGTGATCAGATGGTCAGGCTCGCTGACATGGTTGATGCATGACATCGTATCCCAATTACGTAATTCGATGCTCATGATGTCAATCACTGTATTGTCTGGTCCAGACTTGATTATTTACAGACGGCCGTCATATCGCAAGAATTTTGCAGAGTGTGGCATTAAACCACAAACAAAACAAGAAAAACAGTTCCACATGGAATTAGTTCCAACATGTACCAAGGAAACAGTTTGTCGTTCCATGGGAATAATTCCCCTCGAGACAAATAGTACAAAGGGACATTTTCACTACAGGAACAGATACTGATTTGCCATGTTCACTTCCTGTATGTCTACCTACCACCTTTCATGGTGAACATGGTGAGGGCATTTGAAAGATATTCTGTACTGGCTAGGAACCATGCAGTTATCACTGCATGAGGACCACTTATCACCAACTCCTCGTTATAGCGCACACGTGTTTGCATCTCTTTTCCCTTTTGCTCATAAGAAAGAGAATCATTTACCAAAAAATGATGAACAAAAGTGACTCTTGTGAGGAAATATTGAAAAACACCATATGATCACCTTGCTCAAATACAACTTTAGAATAGACACGCGGGAGGTGACACTTGACTAACTCTTGCGTGAACAAAAATCCAACAACATGATGATGCACATTCAGTTCTGTCGTTGCTTACTATCTGTCTGTCATTTCTTCCCCAAAATGCAATCCTAATATATTTGAGCTATTTTTCCAAAAATTCATAAACCTTGTATATTTTGCGAAATCCATGGTCATAGTGTTAAGGTGATGTGTAAATCAAATTGGGAGAACATTCATTTACGTCAGTTTGCTGACAACATATTGATAAAAGCATTTCTTATTAATTGTAATGAATATGAAAATTGAGTGCGATACTAGAGAAAACAGAAAATTTAATTTGTCTAACTGAAGCGGTGTGCGTGATCATGTGGCACTTGCTAACCTCATAACAATAATACAAAGGGAAATAATCAATAAATAATGTCCTTTGGAAGTTGGGTCAGAGATGAAGCAGATTTTACTGCATTTATTTAAAATGGGTAATATGTGTTTGTAACTTTGACCTTGTAATTTAATGTTAAATGCAACATATATTTGTGCATCTCTCTAGGATGTAAATGAGTAACATGGTTAATGAGTTTGGGTTATATTTCCGCTTTGAAGTAGTTATATCAAGTCCTGTCAGCATGGTCAGCAAAGTAGAGAAAATGCCTAAACTTATGAAAACGCAAAGAGAAAATGTTAAAGACCTTGACCACTTTGATGAAATCCAGAAGAATGGCATGGTGTTGTCAAACCAAGAAACATGATATGGTCCGAGAACAAAGGCTCGATAGTGAGATCTAAGTGATGTATAATTATAATCCCAATGAATCTGCATCTCTTTTCTTTGAGTGTGTTGTTTTTAAATGATATTATTTGATGTAATATAATCTGTTTATCTTGAGAACAGATTCCTATGATCATGTACATCTGATCGAATCCAAATTTTGCCCAGATTGTTATGGGTTTTTCTTCTTGCTTGCTTCTGGGTTTCACCAAAGAGGTCAATGGCCAAGACGTCAATCACTTCAGGATTTGAAATGCTGTGATATAACTGACATACTATTCAAAGCGTCTTTGAACACATCTCATTCACTCACTCATCTTGAGAAAAGATTTGATTTTGAATTGCCGCTTACATCAGGTATAATCAAAATGGTGTCAAATGCTTTTTTAAGATATTGGCTATCAGGTAATTCTTTTATGGCGAAATTTATAAAAATATGGCATTGTGATACAGGGATCTGTATTGCAATACATAATGCGATATATTGGGAGCTATTTACATTTTTTAGGCCAAATTTGTGCAAAAACACCGATTTTTGCAATGATGTCAAATTCAGCATGGTCAGTCGCCATTTTGTTATCAGGATGCAGGGGAGATAACTTGAGAGAAAAATCACTTTCGTATTTCGTATTTTCTCAGTCAATTTTAAAGGGAAACATCAGATGTGAATGAATTATTGTGTAGATTCTTGTTTTAATGATACAAGTAATAACGAAACATGTAACATATTTTGTACCGAATATACTGGAACACACAAACGATACTGTAATATGTATCCTTTGAAGCGTATTGCAGTATATACTGTGACGTCCTATTATCTTGATCCGTGAAGATCTGGGTTAGAATACATCTTCAGCGACCTATACTTGTTTTGAGAGGCGACTATGCTTGTCTTAACAGGAGACTAACAGGAACAGGTGGTCAGGCTCGCTGATTTGGTTGATGCATGTCATCGTATCACAATTGCGTGGATCGATGCTCTTCATGTCAGTTACTGAATTGTCTGGTTCAGACTCAATTGTTCACAGACTGCCGTCATACACCTGGAATATTGCTGAGTGTGGCATTAAACAACAAACAAACAAAGCATAACCGTGATATTTGTTTTACAGATATGCAACCTGGACCTACAGCTACTTCAGGGACCGGGGCATCACAGGACCACCGCCAGCACCCCTTTTTGGACACACCACTGGCGTTGTAGGTTCACATATCATAATTATTACCATTTAATTTCTTATATCAACTTGGATGATGCATGCTTGTGACGGACTGTTGATCAAGATAAGCAATGTCTTTCAAATATTTACACTGTGTACAAGATATATTGTCAACTAAATGACCAAACAAATGTTAGGTCTGTTATTTCAGAAAATGACCATCTATACATGGTATTGAAATAAGCTTATATTGAACTCTCTGGTTCTCATGTGGCCAGTGATGTATATATGCCTTGTCTACAGTGTCCTGCATGTATCGAATGTCTGATATTTCTTGATCAGCTGCTCAATGTCCTCTGGATCGCCCACTTCATGCCTGGAGAGCTGAAGTGAAGGCCTTTAGGGAGGTGGAATTATGCAATGTTCATCACAAATTGTGTACTTACAAAAGACCAATTAACTATGTGCGCCGTGTATTTATTCAGAATGTCTGTAGTTATTGTATGTTGAGTGTAATTGACATATTCGTGAGGCCTGATGCAGTGAACAAAATAATATTAAAACCCAACTAGACAATTGGGCAGGTGACCCGAAAGTGTTTCTCTATCCACTGAAGTTCGTTTCAAGGCGTCAATAGCGGTAATATGACCGTGGTTGCTGTAAATAACAGTGAGTTGTGTGATCTTCTGATCACTTCACATACGATTTCGCCGAAATGAATTGAAACAATGTTGAAAGAAATGTTGAATCAAATTAATAAAATAGATTACAAACATAGGTCCAGAAATATTATGAGCTCTTTTTACAACCAGACAGTGTAAGTACATGATTAATTTGCGTACTCCAGTATGGATTTGTTGACATGGTAACTCCGGTGTTACGTGCTCAGAGTAATGTCTTTGTGTTTGGGAAAAAACCTCTTCAACCCTGTGTATAAGACGACGCCCGTCGGGTGGTCAGACTTGGTTGATGCTTGTCATCTTATCCCAATTGCATGGATCGATGTTCATGATGTCAATCAGTGATTGTCTTGTCCAGACTCTATCTTTTACAGACAGCTGTCATATAGCTGGAATATTGCTGAGTGTGGCATTAAACAACAACAAACATGATTTGTGCTTCATCTGTTATAAAAATCTCCTCAGAAACCATGTACTGGACCACTGAAGCTGGAACTTCATGTATTTGTTGCCAGCAATTATGACAGCTCAATCCAAGTTGCCATCAGCTATATTGAAAACCTATTAAAAGCCATTTAAGTTTCTCAGCCAAGTCAAATTTGGGAGTTAGTAGTAGGACTTAACATGTAGTTTAACCAGAAACTTTTGAGAATTTTTCATACACTTTTGGCCATCAGTATTTAGTATATCAAATGTTTATGTAGAACTTACCGTATTCTGACTTTGAATCAAGGGAGACAACTCTGTGTGTCATATTTATAAACAAATTAGCAGACGGCAAACAAGACCATTGTGGAAATGGCAGCCTTTGAAAAAAGAAAGATTATTTGTGAATTATCCAATTAAGGAATCAGATCAGCACAGGTCATGACAGAGAGATCCGACATTCCCCTATCATCTTCCGTACCATGTTATGAAAAATATTGAGAGTGAGGATGGAATTGTGCACAAAAAGGGAGCAGTTAGGCCATAGAAATTGGCTGTTTGTGACAGAAGGCGACTTGATATGCTGTCGTCTAAAAACAGACACATGAGCATAGAACTATTTGGCATAAAATGATTTAAAGAGGAACAGTTCATGTTTCTAAGGAGACAAAAAGAACACGTTTGCATGAAATGGCTTGTCAGAAATCGCGAGGAATTCCTTCACCACTCCTAAAAGCTGAACAGCAAGAGCGACGTTTGAACTGGTGTTTGGAGCATAGAAATTTCAATTGGGACAATGTTATGTTCTCATGCAGATGAAAGTTTTCCAAACTGCATTAAAATGTGGGCCAAAGGTACAGAAAAACCATTTATTTTTAAAGAACACAAAGGCTTAGAAAGCTGAACCTTTGTTTGCAAGAATCCATGATTCATGTTGACATGAAGTCACTTTATGTTTATCAATTGTTCCTCATTATCATGCAGAAATGTTTCAGCGATGTTGACATTGTAAACCGTTGACTACATACTACATATCCAGGTGAGCTACAATGCTGTGGCGCTATTTTTTTAGGAGAGGTGACAATAAAGTGAAATGCTCAAGAAACATGTTTTTCTTTCTATTTTATCAGAGTTTCTTCCACAAACTCAAAGACTGGAAACGACAATATGGAGATGTATATGGGTAGGTGCATCTCGTACACTTCCAGATTGGACATGTATCTTCATGCTCTGCAGTGGCAGCACCCTGTCCTTGATAGTCATATAAGTCAGAATCAGATGAACCCAATTGGTGACCAAAGTAAATGGGTTCATCTTTTAGAAAAGAAATTATCAACTCACCGATGAACATGGTATAGGCAAGTGAATAGGATGTAATGCTAGTTTCATGTGGGAGGAAAGCCGAATTGATGCAGGTCTTAGATGTTTATCATTTAGGTAAAACCTGTAATCACAGGACTGGTGCAGACAAATCAGGGATCATAATCTGTCTGAATCTGGGATTCAAACTAACCATCGAGAGATCATGGCAGAAAGAAAAATATAATTGTGCCAATAATAATAAATGTCAGTTTTGCAGTCTTTGTTTAAAAGCAGGACATCTTGTACGTTCTTTTTTCTTATACAATGATTTTTCATGTATTTTGTTGTTTCTTGACTATAGGGTATTCATTGGAAGAAAGCCAGCCCTTGTTATATCCGATCTGGACATTCTGAAGGAGGTGTTTGTCAAGAGCTTCAGTACTTTCAGGAACCGGATTGTAAGCAATGTATTCATTTAGTTTATTAATCATATTGTTTCCAAAGAACATAACACTATAATGCATAAACACTGAAGAATTCCTCTTATTCCGATGGCTTGTATTGATTAACTGAAATTATGCTAAATGTGATGTTAAAACCACTCATACATATTACATTTAAGCGTTACACATCCAATGTTAAAGTTTCTGTACATATATTTCCAGAAATTCCTACTCATTCCCTACCCACTGAGTGTGAGTATATTTTTCCTGGAAGATGCCCCCTGGAAGAGGGTGAGAAGCATTATCTCACCCAGTTTCAGCGGTGGCAAACTGAGACGGGTGAGTCACTCTCGTTTTCTTTGTTGGGTATATATATCCCACGTAGAGAGGTTACAATACCAGTAGGTCCCAAGCAATCTGCATGTATGCTTGTAGTTGCTGATATGTTCAATCACTGGTCTTTCTGGTCCAGACTTTAAAATTTATCAGGCTGCCGTTAAACAGCTGGAACATTGCTGTGTATTGCATACAAACTCCTATTGCCATCATTACCATAACACAAGATGCGCAATAAAGCAGTGCTGATGTAAAGGGAAGTAACTGCATACTATATTGGATCACATTGATTATAAGTATTCAGATTTTATATTCTTTTGAAAATGGAAATAAAAACGAAATGTGCGGCAGACTTTATGATATGGGCAGTGTCTGACAACCAAGACTATTCTTTTTAGCCAGACATGCACATCTGACTTTGTAGTAGTAGAAGTATAAAGAAACAACGAGGAATTTGATATTTTGAAAAGAAACTGGGAGCAGGTGATCAAGGGATTTACCGGATGACTCATAATCATGTATCTTTTGCTCATAAAAATTTAAACGGGACTAAAAAACAATTCAGAGTGCATCCACTGGGACAATTTGTATGCAAGTTTAGGAATGAATGCTGTTATTTCATGATTTGGTACCACTTTAAATTAATTTCTGTAGAAATCTGTTAAATAATACCATACAGAGTCGAATGCCTCACGACCTTCCAGTGCTAGCACTTGTAGATTTATTTCATTTGGGTAACAGTCTCTGAGCATGTACGCTTTTCTGGGACCGTTTTTTTAACTAGGGACCCATTGACCTCCAAAATAAATAATTCATATTAATCTCTGCAATGAATATAGTTTTCATGCATGTTGTTAGGTTTCTATGGCAACTGCTCCTTTTACTGAGACAAATATGGCAGTATACTACTCAAAAGAAGTTGAGGAAAACCTGATTCGTTCATGAAGGAATCGGCTGTCCTTAACTTCTTTGGTGTAGTATACTGTAAATCTTGAAATTAACGCGAGCGTGAATTGAATGTGAAAAATGCGAGAGATCTTTTGCTTTGCTGGTTTATATCAACAATAAGACATTTTGGATAGCAGAAATACCAACTTAGACATACGCTGAAAACAAACAACTTTGTCTTACTTACTTATATTGGAGATTTTACGTGCCCTTTCCGACTGCAAGCGTATGTCGCACACGGGCCCGGCCAGGCCATTTAATGTGTTTCCGAAAAGGGAAAAAGTGAATTTGTGGAACCCAGGAGGGGGGCTTTAGGGGTTGCTTATATAGCAATTTTGAAATTTTGAGATTTGGAATGAATGCCAAGAGTGGGTGGAGACGAACTAAGGGAGCTGTGTGTGTTTGGTGGTTGTTAGATTAGGTAGTTTGGGTTTTAATATTTTATTTGGGGTTTAAATGCGACTAATTAGTCCTGTTTTAATTAGGTATATGCCTAAGGCTTTGATTTTTTCTAATTTATTTTGTGGACTAAGGATTGATTCTAGTGTAAGTGCGGTTTTAAGGTTTAGGGTGGTCTGTAGTGTTGTTCGGTGTGTTTGGTAGTGTGTGCAGTGAATGAGTACGTGTTCTGGTGTTTCTTGTTGTTTGCAATGTGGGCAGTTTCCTGTTGTGTGTAGATTAGCTATTTTACAGTGATTATTTAGTTTGGTGTGGCCTGTTTGTAGTTTAGTAATTATTCTGTGTTTTTTTTAGATGGGTGTAGTATTTTTGGTTTAGTTAGTTGTTTTTTTAGTACTTTCCTGATTTGGCTATTTGAGTTTTGGTATATATTTTGCCATTTTTTGTTGATTTTTTGTTAAGTGACACTTTTGATTTCTGATTTTGAGCTGGGTAAGTTTAAGCCTTTTTCTGGGAGTTTAAGGGATAATTTGGCTGTTTTTTCTGCGTTTTCATTTCCAAAGATTCCTACATGGGCGGGGATCCAAATGAACTCTATTTGTTTACCTGCCTTAGTTAAGTTGTTTGAGCTTTTGAGTATTTGATTTATTAGTTTGGGGCGGTTTTTAGTGTTTTTATTTTTGAGGGCTTGTAGTCCACTGAGGGAGTCGGTTAGGATGAGGATTTTTTGGTGTTTTTTTAGATTGCTGATTGTGTAGTGCTGAGGCCATGCCCATGAGTTCGGCCGTAAAAATGGATTGGTTGTTTGGGAGTCGGTAAGATTTGGTGCTTTTGGTTGGTTGTGCGATGTGGACTCCGAAACCTGTGTGTTTTGAGATCGGATCTGAGGATCCGTCTGTGTATATGTGACACCAATTTGGCCAATTTTCATGTATGTATGCTAGTGTGGTGGTTTTAGCGATGTTAGGATCGGTCTGTTTATTTACTGTATCGGCTAGTGTTGTGTCTATTTTTGGTATTTTAAGTTTTGGAGTGAAGATATGGGATGATTTGTTGTTTTGTTAAAGATTATTTATTTTGTGTTCATTTAGGTAATTGGTTATTCTTTGGGATATTGGAGTAAGTAGTGGATTTTTCTGGGCTAGGGCTTGGTTTCTAGGGCTAATATTGTTTTTTATTAAGTTTTCGATTAGAGAGTTTGATTGGGACGCGGCACAGAAGTTTAGGGTAAGTTGTTCCCTACGTAGTTTAAGTGGCATTTCTCCTGTTAAGGCCTGGAGTGAGGTGGAGGAGGTGCCATGTTGAGTTCGTGTGATTACTTTTAGGGCCTGATACTGGATTGAGTCTAGTTTTTTAATGAGAGAGTTGTTTAGGGTGTCGTTAATGACACAACTTTGTATTCCACATCACTATTTATTGAGCAGCACTTGTAACAAGTATATGAACAATGTCATTCAAACACTAATTACATCCTGTGAATCGTCACTGGCTGGGTCAAGACAAGTGTTCTACTCACTTATGTCATCACTGATCACACCTGCAAGTCCAGACAGACGCTACCAACGCAACACGGTGACTTTGTTCTTTGCAACTGCATCAAAGGCCGACACAGGCCAGTGCACATGTATTGATTTTGCGGAAGTACTGTAATCAGCGCTAATAAGCGGTGCTATTTGGTGTGTTGTGTGTGATTGGATTAATGTAAGGTTGGATTGAGGTGAGGATTCTCCTGTAAACCTGACAGAGGACGTTTTCTTTTGATGCTTGAGAGGAGGGGGTGTCGCATTCATATTGAGTCGCATTTTTGGCTAGGGACCAGTGGTCGCATTCTGTTGGAGACGCATTAATTTCACGATTTACGATTGTATATAGTGTTGTACAGAAATGAGTTTTTGCATCTGTTCCAAGATGTGTGCTGCCATCAACGACTGTGGAAAGACTCTGTCCAATAACTTCTCTAAAACCTTTGGGGAAAAGGAAGGGGTGGATGTGAAAGAGTAAGTGTGAACATTTCATTTTATCATAGGTCTTGAAATGGATCCTTAAATTTTAAGAACTTTATATACACGATGACATAAAGTGTTTTACAGAGCTCCAGATAAGCTTTTGGTGATGTGGGTATTTTACCCATGCATTTTAAAATCATTGGGTATCAGTAATTCTATCTGTGTATTCAAATTTCTTTTACCCACTAGTTATTACACTTGTGGGTATTTAAGTTAAATATTTAAAAACACCATTCATCTAGTCCCTGTAAACTGGTGGTGTGTAGGTTCGAGAGCTTTATAGGACTCAAAAATACCACAATATTTCCACAAGAAAGTGTGATGGCAAATGATCATGATGTAACTGTCATCGTGGAGTTTGGCAAGGTTGACGGAATGCCCGTTTATAATTTCAAAATAAGTTGCTGATCTGCTAATCGAACACGCAGGGTTACTTCACAATATTTTGATGATACGCACAAGTTTTATTTTTATAGCGTATCTGTAATATTCGTTGCGTATTTGATAACGCTTGTATTTTATTTTACTGCGTATTTCTGGATTTCTGATGCGTATTTTACCCAGATACGCAGCTTATCTGGAGCTCTGTTTTATTTATTGCAAGTTTTTGTATTCATGGTATTAGAGATTAATCTAGCTATACAGCAGCACTGTTAGATGTGCATATGTTTTTTGCGAAATTACATTCTACCTATAATTGAACTCTCTTGCAAATCCTGGGGATTTGACACGCAAGTAGAGGAACATTATTCGTTTTTATATCAATACTTGTACATGTGTCTTGGTATAATGTGGAGGACACATTGTTTGTAACTACGACTCCCAGTGTTCTCTATTTCAGTGAGTAAACAGTGAAGGCGTGACTAGGGTTTTACATAGCTTTTAGCAGTTTCCTAGTGGTGTCAGGGCAGACAATCCAAGAATGGACATCATACGTTGTACCCATTGTGGAACCCATCTCTGTTTTTTTTTAATTAGGCCTGACAAAATAATAAGAATGAAAAAATAATTTGTTCAGAAAATCCTGGGCATGCTGTATGTCATATATATGTTAGAAAAAGCAAAATCCTTTCAGAGAGCAAACATTGTATGTCTTGTAGCTATTCCCAACTGCTCGATCGTGTGAGATAGTAATCAGAAGTATTCATCAGCGGCAACTAATACCTTTCGGGATTCAGGGCAGAATAGATCATCAGTAATATGCCTGACCCAGATTATTTACAGGTCACCGACATAAAACTGAAACATTGTTGACTGTGGGGTGAATAAGTCTGACCAAAAAACCCTCCAAGTTGTTGTCGCCATGTCAGAAAGCCACAAGTATTGTGTCCCTTCTAGGAGTAGGTGCATGAAATGGAAATACATCACAAAGCATTAATCTTTGATAATCTCTTTCAGATACTTTGGAGCTTACACTATGGATGTCATTTCTCAAACTGTCTTTGGTATAAAGATCGATTCTCAAAATGATTTGAACCACCCTTTTGTCACTCATGCTAAGGCGATATTTTCACTATCAAAAGCAAGAAGGATGTTGCCAATACTAGCAGGTATGTTGCATGCTTCTTTCTACAGCCTTCTCTATGAATTCTACGCTGAATGGATTTGTTAGTCTGATTTGGTTTTATTTTCAGGCAATATGCTGACACTGAAAAGAAACTATACCACACTATATATCAAGCTTAAAGGAGAAGTAGTCTAAATGTGGGATTAAATCATTTACAGAGCATACTAGAACAAGTATCTGGAAAAAAACCATGCTTATGTCAAAATATGTTAAAAACCTATTCGTATTCCTGAAATTTCCGAGAGTTAATGAGCAGAGTTGTCATCACGTGACCTGACGTCATAGTGAAGAGATTACTTGACGACGTTCACTGTTTCTGTAAAGTGTTCAGTTACTGACTCACTTGTGTATATACGAACTTGTTCTCGTCGCTATATGGCTGAAATAATGCTGATGCGACATTAAATTTTAACTCATCCATGGCATCACAAGACAATGACACTGATGAAGGACCTTACACGTATTCGTCCACATGGGGGTAAGCTGTCAGTGTCTCAACACAATATTGTTGAGATATAAGTCACTCTGGTTGGATGGAATTGAAATGATAACAGTCAGCTTCACATATGTACCACATTGACTTCAAGATACACCCACACACAACGGCTTGTATTTGGCTTCATTCTTCCATGAGTGCATGTATTAAGTCATGGCTATTTCTGAAAGGGTTGGATCTTGTTCTAATCTCACCATTAGAGGTCGTTCAATTGGTCAAGAGTCAGGAGAGTGAGCTGACCAAGGCAAAACGCTGACCCCAATCATTATTCGTCATCTCTGAGTGGTAGGTCTCCTTGCCGTGATATAAACAGTTATTATTGAAACCCAGCTAGCTTTCCTCTTGTGCAGGTTTGGTTCCTCCACTTGAACGGATCCTACTGAAGATGGGAATAGGACTATTTCCTCAAAACGTTATCAACTTTTTTCAGACGACTGTCATCGAAATTATGAAACAGCGACAGAATGACACAAAGGAACAGCAAGAGGTTAGATATTCCTGTTGAATGATGTGCAAACTTTTGTAAGAATCAGCTAAACGGATTCATTCAGTTTGCACATCAGTTTTTCGATTCATACCTCACTGAACCTAAAAACAATCCTCAGTCAATCTGTACAATTAAATTTGACAACGAAAACATGTGTTTTCTACAAAAGTTGAACCAACAACAGTTTTATTTATGAAAGCAGACAAAAATGATGAGATTGATAAACATTCCAGGAATACATACTGTGGTGTGACATGAATCAGGTGATTGTTTAATTTATGCACATAACTTGACACGCCCACAAAGTCAGTAGCCAATCAATGGAGAGTATGATCAAAATTTTATAGGACCTGTCAATCAAGGGATGAGGCGAGAAGAACAGCAACAGTCAGACTGTAACAAACCGGAACAAATTTGTCTGGGAGAAGGTGGCTGTTTCCTGTTTGAATGTTTCTGTTTTTAGATTATTACCATCCGGTGATATTATTCGAGAAACGGTAGCTAATTGTGATTCAGTCTACTATAAGGCACCCATGTGGCATCCGAATTCGTATCATGTAGATTATCCATTAAATTAACCTAGGTGAGATACAAAACATTATGATGAAGAAAATGCTAAGAGTACAAAACTAACTAACCTAACCCAATAAGATTTTATCTTGCACATTTAAGTAAAAGCGACAAAACCCATTCCATCTGCGAATGTTTTTTCAAATGAATTATTTGTTGAAAATTATACCAGAAAATTTCTTTCGTTAATAGCAGAGAAATGACTTTCTGCAACTCTTGATGGATGCTGAGATTGAGGACGATGCAGATGAAAATATTGCCACAGCCAGTGGTCAGATCTCGGAAAAACATACAGTGAGACGTGAGTACAGACACTCTCATGAATGAGTTGAGCACTTTGAACAGTAGGTCAGTCATGTGGCTGGTAGTGACTTGGTTGATTGGGTGCCATCTTACACCAATGGCGTGGGACGTCACTCATGACATAAATCACTGGTTTGGTTGATCCAGATTATTCACTGGCTGCCGTCAAGATTATATCTGGAATGCAGCCCAGTGTGGTGTTGGACAACAAATACTTATATAACATAACCTTGTTTCTGTATTCTATTATAATTATTAAGATAGCTACACGATAAAACACAAAGAACAATGAACAACAAAGCATGGTTTATTTCAGGATAAAACTTTTAATTTCTTGAGATTCGAAAATGTGCTTGAAACTTGATGACGTCGTAAATTGGACGATGGGCATACTACTCCTACTTGTCGTTTATTTCTTAAGTAAAAAATGACTTTTACAGGTCTAACAACAGATGAAATAGTTGGCCAAGGGATAATTTTCTTCATTGCTGGCTACGAAACAACTGCGTCGACATTGGCCTTTGTGTCACACAGTCTCGCCGTGAACCCAGATGTACAGGAGAAGGCGTATAATGAAATCAAAGCAATGCTTGGAAATGTCAGTAGAAATTCTTGGGTGCATTGTTGTAATAATTTTTGTGTCCGTGTCCTCGTACGCTGAAGGCGTGGATTGTTGCTCACAATACCGATAACTGAATTGTTTGGTTCTGACATGTGTTCAGGCTGCCATTGTATAGAAGGAATATTGCAGAGTGCAGCGTTAACAACATACAAACTTATTATGTACTCACCACCAAAAGAAACGTGAACCACATATATATAGAGAGAGGTTTGTACGTTAAGAAGAGATGTTTCCAATGCGTACCACTCAATGACAAGACTAACAATCAAGTGTTATCACATTGTCTTTATTCTTATCACGATATGCTGCACATGATTTCCAAACTTTCCAACACGCTAATCCTGCACACTTATCCTGCATCTCGAGTCATGTATCGATGACATCGCATGTGATGCATTCATGAGCATCGTATGTTCGTTTTTGCATGGAACCAATCTAATATCTCATGAATATGAGTAATTCTTCATATAATCACCAACATGTGTGGTATTTGTGTTTCTTTTGGCGGTGAGTATGTAATATGAGGCACACATGCGTGCCTGAGTGATTAACACAAAGCAGTCTATTGTCATTGTATGATAAGAAGATAATTGTAAATGAGGCGACTATGCTTGTTGTAAAAGGCGACTAGGATCGGGTGGTCAGGCACGCTGACTTGGTTGATGCATGTTATTGTATCCCAGTTGTGTAGATCGATGCGAATGATATTAATCACTGGATTGTCTTGTCCAGACTAGATAATTTACAGACGGCTGTCATGTTGCAGGAATATTACTGAGTGCTGTGTTAAACAACAAACAAACAAATGAACCAATTGTGTGTCATTCACTAATTTCCATCTTTTCTGAAAAGCCCTGACATCCAAATCCAAAGTTCCAAATCCCATTTCTGTGGTATTGTTTTAATAGTTCAATAACTCCTCTTGTATACAGACAGACAGATTAGACAGGAATACTCTCATAGAGTCAGACGGATCACTGTTGTTGGACTTGCTTTAACAATCCGTTGATTTGTTCTTTCGAATTTGTGGGGGCTTGGGGAATTTGTCATCTTCTGATGAGAAAAAGAACAGGTTATATACCTGTCATAAGTCAACGTTCAAGTATGGGGATCAGGATCGTTTTGTCTGAGATTGTTTTGTGGAACCATGAGGCAAGATGACCGGTATATTTATTCAGGAACAGACGTCTTTGTGTTAAAATAAGTTCTGCTTGCAGCACTTGATAAAACTACATCAGTCAGTCAGTAGTAGACATTGTCCTTATTCTTTTCCCCAGGAGGAACCCAACTATGACAACATAGGGAAACTGAAGTATCTGGACAACGTCATCACCGAGACACTCAGACTCTACCCCCCAGGTCTTGTGTAAGATTACAGTCATAGTAACATTGTGTCGTAAGACATGACTAACCTGCTCATGCTATTAACCCCTGGTTTGTACATGTGTGGTCCATGTTACTGATGTTTCTGGTCAACTGGTGAACCTCCATCATACTAGTTGCTGCATCTTTAAAGGAGTTAGCAAGAGGCAGGATAGGGGTGCGTTAAAGATTTTATAAAAAAGTAAATTCATAAGTATCAAACAGAGTGTTGCGGACATCCATACAAAATTAATACCAAAAATGAAAAAGTGATCTCTGCATCCATACAAAATTAATACCAAAAATGAATTGATAATTTCTGCACAATTTCATATGTTATGCAAAATGCGTTGGTCAAGTGACTACAGGGTATTTTTGGTTCTGGTACAATTTTGTGTATTACATGACAAAGTCAAAGCCATATGTTAAGGAGTTTGTTGGCAAAGGAAACAGTTGCGCCTGATGAAATAGTCACAGTCTAAATGTTCTCCATCTTTGATCTGTACCACTACTGCATATACATGTACTTGAAAAATCTTGTAAAAACACATGTCAGATAACAATAACTTGAGTATTGGACATATTATTTGTCATGTTGAACAACTTTGAGGGCATATGAACAAGAGGTATTCTTGATTCTGTGTTTCAGGTTAAGTCGCAGAGCTTCAGATACTATTCAGATCAAAGACTTAACAATCACTAAGGGACAAATTGTCTTTGTCCCAGTGTTTGCCATGCAAAGAGACCCCCAGCTCTTCAAGGATCCAGATTCCTTCAAACCAGAAAGGTAACTCTATCTACCAGGTGTATCTGATGATATGACTCTATGATAATAATAATAATGATGATGATGATGATGATGATGAATATAGTTGACTGATGGTCTCAAATATTATTTCTCATAAATTAATTTTCAGACATGATGAAAAGTCCAATCCACTGTCCTTCCTGGCTTTCGGATATGGTCCTAGAATGTGTATTGGGATGCGGCTAGCGCTGGTGGAGGCAAAGATTGCCCTGATTCATCTTCTGAGAACTACAAAGCTGGAACCTATGCCAGACACACAGGTATGATTCCTCATTGTCATTGTAACCTCAGTCATCTTCATCCTCCCGCTTCACCCTGATTGTGTGTCTAGGTTTGTCAGCATTATACCCATGCTCGTGGGCCAGTGTAAACGTCGACCTGCATCACTTCAGGCTTTCCTCCCATTTCAAGCTGTCACGTCGTGGTACAACTCGAACACTGTTCAAAGCAGTAAACCCATCTCCATAACTATATTTCACTGAATTGTGAAATTTCTAATATTTTCTGATATTTGCTCCAGACTTGGGGCTGAATATCAGCCTCTGAGCAGGCATAGAAAAAACCCTGCCTGACATTTGTGAAACATCCATTTTGTAGGGTTTAATTTAAAGGGAATATGCAGTAATGCTGTTGTCATCTGTGCAGACGTAACTGATTGTCTGGTCCTGACTCGATTATTTACAGACCGCCATTCTATAGCTGGAATATTACTGAGAGCAGCGTTAAAAGACGAACAAACGAACAAATTATATGAATATCTGCCAAAAGTGATATTGAGCAGCAAATCTCCGCTGCACATCCATGTTCTTATCTAAAGCCATTTGTATGTTTTTCGCTCTTTTTTTGTAAGTAAGGTGATCCTAGTTTCTATTAGGGTTTGAACAATACGCTGCCAGAAGACCCAACTGGTGCAATACGTAACACGGCGCGATTTCGGGTTATAGACTGGGTGCACCACATACTTAACTGAAGGGTGGTGGGGTAGCCTAGTGGTTAAAGTGTTTGCTCATCAGGTTGAAGACCTGGGTTCGATTCCCGACATTGGTACAATGTGTAAAACCCAGTTCTGGTGTCCCCTGCTGTGATTTTGCTAGAATATTGTTAAAAGGGGCATAAAACCGTACTCATTCACTCATTTACATACGTTACTGGAAAATTAAGACAAAACGACCTGATCTGAGGCAATGTTAGTTAACTCATTATACTACATATTGAGTGAGTGAGTGAGTTGGGTTTAACGCCACTTTTAACAGTATTCCAGTTATATCATGGCGTGTCAGCTTAATGTGGGAGGAAAGCCCGAAGTGATGGAGGTCTCAGACATTTACCACTTCAGTGAAACCCACAAGCACGGGAATGGTACTGACAAACCTAGAAACATAATCGGGGCGAACTGGGATTCGAACCCACAATCATAGGTTTCTGGCGTGCCCAAGGGACGCAACTCTGCACAGCGAATCACGGCGCCTTAGACGACTGGGCCACCCGTGCCCTCACATATTGTTTAAGATTACACTGACAGTGACTGGGACAAGTACAATTGCACTTCAACATTACTGTATTATATGATCATAATCACCTCATAATGATAATCATGCTACAGTTAACATACAGTACATGAACACAACTGCTTCGTTATATAGTAGCCAATATCATCCCTCACTTTGTGCAGATCGAAAATTGTACGTAGTAACTTTTACTCTTCGTATAGCTAAAACCTGAGGATGTCTGTGACAACGTCCCACTACGTGATGGATGTTCTGGGTTAGATCTAGGCTTCCACATTGTCTGTTGCATATCGGTATAAGTATGATCAGCTGATTTTGTCATGTTTTGACATTTGTCAACTTTGATCACCTTGGGCACTGTGTCCCATTTCACATTTTTTTAATGGAAAAAGGAAGACGGTATCAACTGTTTTCTTTCGACAACTTTAAATTATAATGCTCTACTATTGTATGATCTTCTGTGTAATGTATTTATGGTGGAAATTATCAAGAAATGGCCATAAGGCCATAAACTCATTATATGCAGACTGCAGCTTTGTTCTGTAGCCTATGGAAACTTGACTACATGTATTTTTGGCTTTCTTTTTCTAGCTTCGAGAGGAAACCGTGTAATATGATTGGTCGTCATTTTCCATTTTTCTTAGGGGAATTAATGTGTGTGTAAAATAAAGATGAAGAGGGATTTGATTAACTAACAGGTATACAGTGAAGATTGGCATTCTGTAGTGTACATAAACAGGTTGTTAGCATAACTGCATGCAAAATTAATGCAATTTTAATTAATAAATTTCAATTTGTTTAGATTTTGAATACATGGTGTAAATATGATAAATTTGAAGCAACTGATATTTATTAGCCTGTGTGTGGAGTAGTTACCGACTGCACTCAGTGCTGTCTGCTTATAAACTTCGGCTGTCCAAGCTGATTTTAACCTGCACCAGTACAGTCTTGTCAATGGAAAATCACATCCTTTGTAATATACAAATATATTTGTTTGCATTTGCTTTAGACAAATATCTTATTATTTCCTAAACTGTTCAAAGAATCATGCTATTTTTTATCAACATTGACATTTAATGGACATTCAGTACCTGAAAGTTTTGTTGGAGGATTTTTACATAAGCCTTCCCTGGGGGTATTAATATTGTAATGCAAAGTCCTCTCCGGACTATTATGACACATGACCTCAATGAAAATATGTTGTTCCACATGTGTAATATGTTCTGTCAGAAGGGTCAACTACACAACTAGTACATCGACAAAGGGACATCAGACCCCTGTTGTTGTACAGCAGACTTTCAGACAGACATGTGGTGACATGACTTTTGGGACATTCCACATTCACTCTGAAGGAATAGATCATATAACTATTCAACAGTCTTCAAGCCAGGTGGGCCGGTGGGGTAGCCTCGTGGTTAATGTGTTTGCTGGTTATGTCCAGGGCCTGGGTTCGATTCCCCACATGGGTACAATGTGTGAGGCCCGTTTCTGATGTCTCTTGCTGTGATATTGCTGGAATATTGCTAATAAAGAGGCATAAAACCGAACACTCGCTCACTCGCTCACTCACTCACTCACTCACTCACTCACTCACTCACTCACTCACTCACTCACTCACTCACTCACTCACATACTCGAGAGGCCATAACTGCACCAGCATCAAGACTGTCCTGTTCTTATCATCATGTTCCTGATACGCCTCCAGGGCACAGTCCTAACGGTGGTGATGAATAGCAGCTTTTGTCAATGACATTCAGCATAATACACTCACTACTTTCATACTGTTCTTTGTTTACAGGAAGTATTGACGTTTAAGGTGGCCAACGTTCTTCAAACAGAAAAGGACATCAGACTGAAATTATCTCCCAGGTGCTAAGCAAGGTGAAGAGGCACCAGCAGCTCATGTAATGATAATATCAAAGGGAAAAAGCCTATTGGATAACTTACAAAACTATATCTCTATGAAGAGTCCATGTTTGTTTGTTGAAGAGTCCATGTTTGTTTGTTGTTTAACGCCACACTAAGCAATATTACAGCTATTTGATGGCGGTCTGTAAATAATTGAGTCTGGATCAAACAATCCAGTGATTAACATCATGAGTATCGATCTGTGGAATGGTGAGACGATGACATGTATCAACAAAGTCAGCGAGCATGTCAACCTGATCCTGTTAGTCACATCTGAGCGACAAGCATAGTCGCCTTTTACAACAAGCATTGGTTGCTGAAGACCAATTCTACCCCAGATCTTGAACAATTCTTCGTCATACAGAAGTGTTAAATCAGTAGATTATCTGTTACTCAATGTTTTTCAATGGTTTTCAAGTTGGGAAATATCTGCTTTCTGTGATTTGACACAATCATGTTTCTATCATGTTTCTATCATGCTGTAATGTGCTCCCTTCCAAATTGAAACTATAAGTTAAAGCAGGAATCTATATGCCAAAGAATTCAGTGTGAAACCAACAAACAAAGAAATGTAACACAACTAACAATTGTATTATAAAAGTAACTAGGTTTACAAATCAATGCAAATTACTGCATAGTAATTACAATGGCAGTACACAATAGAGTTGCAGTACAAAATTCAGTGGCAATACAATTACAATTGCAGTATAGCATATGATAGCAGTGGTAATAGCAATAAAGTCTAATAATATTCACCTAGCAGCAACAGTGGTCAAAGCTTCCAAAATAGGCCTAGGCTGGATATCCAGGGTGAAAATGTGACCTTCACACAACCACTGGTCTTGATGTAATGTGAGATGAGAGAGGCATGCACTTACCCACTTATATAGTCTAAATCCCTTCTAGAAGGTTCCACACCATGCTGGATTAGTCTGTAGCTGTTCTAGTATAGAAAATTAGTGACTTCCACAGCACTGCTTATATTTGATAGCAATACATTCCTGACAACTAATGATTGTTAAAACACAGAAACAATGTAATACAATAACAACATTGTTTAACAATAAATGGCACTGCCATATAAAAATATTCTCGGCATGTAATTTTAACTATTGCAGTGGTTATTTTTCTCATCCTGCCTTGACCATATGATGATAGTGTATGTTTGTTGATACAGAGTATGTTGACTGTGTCATAGCGATTGCTTTGATAAATCGAGAATATTGGCCAGGTATTTTTCTGATTTGGCAAGTATAATACCTATTTTTTTATTTCTATCATGATATTCAGGTGCTTATCCAGGACTTTAAAAAGGGGGGTTCCACTTGGGCCATTTGTATCTTCCACCAAAAAATCACAAACACAATACGTAAACCATTATTAGTTTTATTTTAACAATCAAATCAACATGTTATCATCGTAGGCAATGCGCATACAAAATGTCAACAGATGTAAACAAGGGGTGGTGGCAACCTTCAGAGCAACCCCTCTGGATCCGCCACTGATGTTTATGATATGGAAACACAAGGGTAATAATCTCATTATCATTTAACTAAAAATAATCAATATGTACCAATGCATAATATGTATAGAATAACACCAGGCCTTGTGTTGTCACATCAGAACATGGTGGTGCAGGCATCGACCCACACAGTTCAGGGCGACACACCAAAACAACCTACCAACCAATACAATTATATTGTGCACAACAATTATTTCTGCTCGGAAATTATTGTGCACTTTGATATGTATTGGGGTAAAACAAAAGTTACACCTCATATAATCTTTCAAACTCAAACTAATGTTCATGAAATGAAAATACCACTTTCAGAAAGAACAAACAGTAATGCTGAACAAAATTTATAATTGAAGGTTTTATATATTTGTTTGAAATTTTTAAATTGTAAAATCTTTAGAAAGTCTGTTGGGTTATTCTTTTGCCAAACTACACACCACTTTGTATCTGGAAAGAAGATGTGATATTGTTTGTACTTATATGTGTCTATAAATTCCAAAGATGGATTAATGACAGTAGCTGTTGTCTTTGAAATGTGCATATTCTTGTGTCAGTGTACTGTATTTTAGGATGTGATCTCAGTAGATTGTGCCTACTTAATATCAACATTACTGTGAAATTTGTGATTTTGTAACATGTTCACCTTTCATATGTCCATATTTTCTTAATAAACTCAATTATCTTTACCTCTTTAGTTTCTGTGATCACAAAGAAAATGTGTAGCAATCACACTTACACTTTTGCCATATTAAATCAATATATATACAGAATAATTTAAAATTTATGTGTATTAACTCTTATTTTGATTGAGTATAATCATGATAATCTTATTCCAAATTTAGCAATATTCTATCAATATCATGGCGCGGACGACAGAAATGAGCTTCACACATTGTACCCATCATGTCCATGTCCACTAGGCTGGCTCACCGCCAACTTTAAAGCGTTCGCTTGTCATGCAGAAAACCCGGATTCGATTCCTGACATGGGTACAATGTGTGAAGCCCATTTCTGGTGTCCCCCGCCGTGATATTGCTGGAATACTGCTAAAAGCGGCGTAAAACCATACTCACTCACTGGCTCACCGCCAACCCACACCCACCCGCGCCCGCTAAACCCTGACCAAGCCCCTCCTGACTTTTAGGGGGGCCTGGTGACACATGCTGACACATTCATCTGAGGCACCGGATGTCACTGTGCTGAGTTGTGTCCCTTGGGCACCTTTGATCATGGGTTCGAATCCTGGTTTGCCCCCCGATTATATTTCTAGGTTTGTCAGCACCAACACATGCTTGTGAGTTTCACCAAAGTGGTAGACATTCGGGACCTGGATCACTTCCGGCTTTCCTCCCACATGAAGTTGACAGATGTGATGTAATTGCAATACTGTTAAAAGCAGCATTAAACCAAACTCACTCACTCATTAATGATATGCCATACCATCTCATAACATGTCCATACATTACTCTGTTGTTGACATAGAAAATTGAGAATAGTAAGCGCATGTTCACAGCAATATATGCTTAAGCAAAATCAAGTAATTAAGCAAGTAAGTAATCAATCAGCCAATGATTGTATGAGCCACGATCCAGGTCATCGGGATACAGCTGTCAGGGCACCACAGGCAGTTAGTCCCATACTGACACCTTTAGTTTCAGTAGCCTGTTGTGAAAATATAGGTTACCATCAACTCTTAGATAGGTATTTAGAAGGTGTAAGGACGTGAAGGTCGGTATTGATAACAACTTTCACTCATAAGGCGAATGAATTGGAATGGAGTAGCCCTGAAACGTTGATCATAAATGTATGTATGAAAGTATAGATTACGAGGTATCCCTGTTGTGTGGTACCTATCTGTCTTCGAGGGATTCCTCTTTTATGTATATGTTAGGCCATATATTTGTTTATTGGTTTTCGAGACTGACCGACACTCGCCTCACTCACTCACCTCACTCACTGAAAGACTCGAGCGTATAACTTCTTTGATAGGCATTTAGAAATTGGAGTATTATATAAACGTATATAAACAGAGCAGCCGAATACATTCTAGCGAGATCAGAAGAAAAGAAGCACTTTTGACCAAAGGAATTTTGGCCGACTACAATTATGCGAAATAAATAAACATGAAATTTTATCACTGCTGTTATTAAGAAATGCTGGATAATAAAAATCTTTACTCTAACAAAAGAAAATGTCCATTTATTAGTAGCAGCACTTATCTGGAAGTTGAAACTTATTTATGTTTACGTTTGTAAATAAAAGACCCTTGAAGTGAAAATCAGCAATTTAGTCCACTTGCATGTTCTTTTATCACTGGGAAGGAACATTCACATCCTTATCACCCGATAGGAAATTGAGTTTGTGAAAGGTTTGCCGCATCTTGACACCTCTGGTGAAGCAAATTGGAAGTCTTGTGTTCATTCATTGGTTCGTGCACACTATTGCACTAGTCTAGTGGTAGAGCGTCATCCCGGAGAGCGGAAGAGCTGGGGTTCCATCCCCAGCCGCGTCATGGTAAACGACGTTAAAAGATGGTACTTGTTGTTACCCTGTCTGGCGCTCGGCACTAAGGGGCTAAAACAAGGACTGGTCGGCTCGGAGTCAGTATACTGTGTCTGAGTGGGGTATTCATGTTCAACTGCGGCATGGTATCTCAGTGAGCTAGCACTATAAATCGGCAACAGTCCGGACTAGTACAAGCAGCCACACACACAGACACACGTGCATGCACGTCGCTATATAAGTGCAATAATCTTGGACGCGATGTAAAACCCCATTTCAACTCAGCTCTTAGATAACCCATAAATGTTGCATTTATTGAGACAAAAGCAGCAAATAAACCACGTCGGTAAGGAAATATGTAGAATCTTTGCATGACCAGCTTAAGCAGTAATTTGCATTGAAGAATTCAGTTACCAGGAAAGCTCAGTCTTGTCAAACTGGTGTTCCACTGTTGTCGATCTAATATGAAGAAATAAGTTCTAAGATTGTGGTTCGATTTCCAGTTCGCCCTGATAATGCATCTATGTTTGTCAGCGCCAAATCTATGCACGTGGGTTTTGCCAAAGTGGTAAACATCAAAGACATATATCACCTCGGGCTTTCCACCCACATCAAACAGATGGCGTGATGTGTTGGAATACTGATCAAAGCAGCGTCAAACCAAACTCGCTCACTATACGTTAGGAGCAGCGCACTTCTTATCGAACCTGGCATGAGAGATTTAAACAAGAATTATATCACCAACGAAACGATGAATTATTGACATGTACATTTTGGCACCGGTGTCATTATAAACGGATGATGGTTCGCAAATATCCACATAGATGCAAGATGCATGAATATGACAATGACCGATATTTGCATCAGACTGTAAACAAAAGCATAATACTTCCCGGATGTTTGATTACTTTAGAGATGATCAAATATAGCAAGGGAGCATCATTTCATTCTATGTGTGATGTTTTTAATGAATTGTTTGTTCAGACAACAATGCTCAAAATGAATATTATTTTTATAGAAAGTACCTAAACGTTAATTTTGTGTGTCAACAATAAAACTGAATACATCCTTGTGGTAGCATATTTTTTAATTTTTCTTAATAGACATTTCTCGTTATTTAAATCATTTTCTCGTGATATCGATTAGTTTCTCGTTATTTCAAGTTTATCGAAAATCTAAATTTCTACAATATTTTTTTGTAAATTGAAATTCCCAGAAAAAGCTCGAAATTTTAAGAAAATAATTTAAGTAAGTAACGAGAAAATATTCGAAGCAACGTGAAAAAGATCAACCTCCAGTTCAGGTGAGCTAAAGCGCTTGAATGCACTGCACTATCCATTTTGGGGGAGTGGTCAATGCATTCCCGCAAACTCTTGGCACAGCTTGATGAAAACGTTTCTGTGAGGAGTAATGAGGATTGCAACCAATCAAATAGCAGCGTAACCAGTGTCAACAAAAATGGCGGAGAGAAGAAAAGCTCCTGCACCTGACGAGAGGATACAAGAGACTGATCGCCAGTTCCTGGGTCTGTAATCAACATTTTGGGAAAGAATGATGCTCTATTACATGTTACTTCATCGTATTCGTAACAGTGTTATTCTGACATGGATTAGGTTTAATCAACCACAGTTGACGTGTGGCCAATTCATTTCTTGCTCACATCATCATCATCATAAATAAGTCATTTCAAAGAAGGAACTGCAAGAACATCCACAAGATCGATGATTATGTGACTCGCGAAACGAAAAATAAGGCGATGAACCGATTGTGAGTCTGATTAACCGGTTACAACTTACAGTATACAATGTGCTCTCACCGTAAACTCAACTCCAGTTGGCCATGTTTTAGCCGAGAGCCACGGTCCTACAGTAAAGACATGACCCTACATCACGTCTTGACTGTAGGACACCATCGCGGCTCTCGACTAGGCATGTTTATACCCTATAGTGGAACATTGTTGTGCCAATCAACGAGCATACTGTCTAGTGGAGTGTTAACATGTGAATTTTCAAACTGGTACAGGCAAAAACAGCACCTCAGCAAAACATCACCGATTTCTCTGGCGAAAACGGCTAATTGTCGGGCGAAAACTGCACACTTACTTTTTAATAACGATAAGAACGATTTATGTAGTAGCATATATATGCTTCATTCACAGTTATTCTTTATTTACCATTGTCTTGTATTTGTCCACAAATATTGTCATCTCCAATGTCTCATGGCATTTCACAACACCTGTGAGAGCACTGTGTAAGTGACTGTGTCAGGGAGAAGTCACTATCTTTAAATCCCTGCCACAGGGATAGTCCCTGAGTCGGCCCTCCTGTATGAACCTTGTCGGGTGTTGAAGGAGACTGGGATGAGTCTAGATACCAAGGGTTTACTCACCCTCCTTGTTGTTGATTCATCCCTGCCAACCTGTAATGAAAGAAAACAGAAGTTAGAAAGTATAATAAATACATTAAAATTATATGACAGTTTATTTTAATTATTTGTATTTGTTTATTTGTATTAATATTACCTTAAACAGAGTTGTTGGTCCTGACAGCAACATTGTACACAGACCAGGATCGTGGAGAGAAGGTTGAGCGTGCGTTCCATTGGGTTTGGAAGTAGTTAGTTGCCAAAGTTTTCCTTGGGCAGGGACACAGTCTGTTATGAAAACATTCTTGTAATGTCGGCTGCCGGCAGAAAAGGGAGCGTCATGATATTTCTCATGAACTTGTGTATTTAATTTATTTCTGTATCAAGGTCTACAAAATAACGTGCAGTTTTTGTCAGGCAATAGTAGCTGTTTTCACTTTAGGCGAGGTGACTTTTTTGTCCAGTCTGTGCTGTTTTCACTCAGTGCCGTTTTGCTGAGGTGCCGTTTTAGCTCTAACCCTTTTCAAACACATGATATTTGCATTTGGGTGACCGATTATCAGCTGATTATCTACACTTAATCATGTAGACAATTCATTATCCTTTTCAATTATAAACCCACAGTAAGATATCTGCATCGGTATCCACAGAAGCAGAAGTCTAGAATTATTACTGATATTTTCTTCTACCTTTTGCAGAGAGGACCAATATTGGACACATGGTAAAGGATGTCCTTGCAAAGATCATATCTAACAGGCCCGATGACCCAATAGACTTCCTGGCTGATTAGTAAGTGGTAGTACTTTGAGGTTAAGATTATGTACACATGATTGAGGGCCTACTGTTCGACAGCCTACTTTTTAACGTCTCGGTTTCATCAGATGTCATGGAGTTAAATATTTCTTTACAATAAAACATGTTTTTCTCAGTGTAGTACAATCGTGGTAATATCCATTTTTAATGGCATACCAATATAGAACACAGCAAAAAACACAACATACAAGTAACAAGGTAAGAAATAATTAATAGGCCATGAAGTTGTTTTAAATCCAACAATATGGACCTAATGGTTATCGAGATGACTTGAATGAAGCTGAGCTGCTCATTCGGAGTTGACCACCCAGCGGCGACATGACTGTCGTGTTAATCTGCTGACCACATCACGCCGTTATGGAGTTCATTAAAAATATTCAGACATCAGTGTTTCAATGTTAGTGTTTTAAACATAATCCTGTGATGCACATAAATGGCACTTTATTGTAATTAATACAAGAATACAATTACAGATGAAACTTTATTATTAAGCATCATTCTCCCAGATGTTATTTAGTAGGACTGCATTCTATGGTACATGGTATCTCAGTGAGCTGGCACTATAAATCAGGCATCAGTCCTTGGACGCGACGTTAAGCCCAATGTCACCTCACCCACCTCCTCCTATCATATGACCCGTGAAGATCCGGGGTAGAATAGGTCTTCGGCAACCCATGCTTGCCGTAAAAGGCGACTATGCTTGCCGTGAAAGGCGACTAACGGGATCGGGTGGTCAGGCTCCCTGACCTGTTTGATGCATGTCATCGATCCCAGTTGTGTGGATCGATGCTCATGATGTCAATCATTGGACTGTCTGGTCCAGACTCGATTATTTGCAGACCACCGTCATATAGCTGGAATAATGCTGAGTGCGGCGTAAAACAACAAACCAACCAACCAACCTCCTATCATATTGAATGTTGAGTTTTATATATATCATTTTGCATTCTTGGGACTGATTTACATTTTGTGATGGAAATATTATTAGCAGTCGATATATCTCTCTCTCAAGATTAAATTTAAAATTTGATATCCTTTTGTAAACTTTTAAAATAACCTTAAACCTTCAACAAATATATTGTACAAAAACATTGGTCAACTTAACATTCTGAAATGGATTGTCATATTAAAGCATAAACTGGTATGTGCATGCCCTGATACAGTATTGGAAGGGCTCCATACACTTGATACAGTATTGGGAGGGCTCCATACACCTGATACAGTATTGGGAGGGCTCCATACACCTGATACAGTATTGGGAGGGCTCCATACACCTGATACAGTATTGGGAGGGCTCCATACACCTGATACAGTATTGAGAGGCTCCATACACCTGATACAGTATTGGGAGGGCTCCATACACCTGATACAGTATTGGGAGAGCTCCATACACCTGATACAGTATTGAGGGGCTCCATACACCTGATACAGTATTGGGAGGGCTCCATACACCTGATACAGTATTGGGAGGGCTCCATACACCTGATACAGTATTGGGAGGGCTCCATACACCTGATACAGTATTGGGAGGGCTCCATACACCTGATACAGTATTGGGAGGGCTCCATACACCTGATACAGTATTGGGAGGGCTCCCTACACCTTATACAGTATTGGGAGAGCTCCCTACACTGATTCCACAGGCTGATAATTCTCACCATGGATGTCAGTCGAGAGCCCTGTTTTAGTGCATCCCTTTTAAAACAATTATAACAGTAAAGTAGATGACAAGTTATTGGACATGTACACCAATTTTGTTCAACCTTATTGGTTAGGTGGTACCTAAATTTCGGAACTGGCTCTGAGTTTTTAACAACCATTAGCCACTTGCCTCAGTTGGAAAGAGTTAGCACAAAGCCCTGCATTACAGTTGATCTGTGCCTCACATGACGACCTCCCGTGTTTCAGCTTCGAGGCCCAGGAGGAGCAGAACAGTGCTGTGGAGAGAGCGCGGCATGTGCTGCTAATGACCCACCACAGCCGCCCAGTGTTTGAGAGCAACGTCAGGGTTGCCTATGATATTTTGGGGAAATTAAAAATTGCCAGTGAGTAAAACAGTGTCTATCAGTACCAAGAATGAGTGTTTCATTCAGAACTGGGTGCCTTGTACAAAGCAATCTTAGCGCTAAGGTGATCGTAACTTACATACCTTAACAAAGACTTTTGACAGTCGTAGTGCTACGGTTGTTTTGTACAATGGCACCCTGGTTGTGATGAATATGGATATGACATACTAATGTTTATAGCAAACTATTTTTATGCGGTGGTAGGTAGCCTAGTGCTTAAAGTATTAGCTTGTCACCGCTGAAGCTCAGGTTCGATTCGATGGCTTCATAGGTTCAATGTGTGAAGCCCATTTCTAGTGGCCCCCATTGAGCAGTGCGTTGCTTGTAATTATAAGAGAGACTGTGTCCGTGGTCTAGTGGTAGAGCGTCCGCCCGGAGAGCGGAAGGTCCGGGTTTCGATCCCCGACCGCGTCGTACCAAAAGACGTTAAAAGGTGGTACTTGTTGTTACCCTGTCTGGCGCTCGGCATTAAGGGGTTAAAGCAAGGACTGGTCGGGTTCGGAGTCAGTATACTGTGTCTGAGTGGGGTATTCATGTTAAACTGCGGCATGGTATCTCAGTGGGCTAGCACTATAAATCGGCAACAGTCCGGACTAGTACAAGCAGCCACACACACACTCACGTGCATGCACGTCGCTATATAAGTGCAATAATCTTGGACACGACGTTAAACCCAATTTCACCTCACCTTACCTGTAATTATAAGATTATTTTCCAAATTTACCAAGATCAAAGATGCTGAGGTACATAGTTGTCAACTGTCATAACTGCTTAATCAACATTTTTTAACCAAATGACCACATTTGATGTGGACCTTCATGAGAAGCACTAAATCTGGCGCTCCTTTATATAATGTTTATTGGGAACTTCACATGTGTCATTGTTTCAGCCCATGTGTGGTGAACTTGACATGACAATAAACTCCCATATGTCCGGATAAATATATGTTACTTTATTAATGCAAGCATTGACACTGACATTTATCACATTATTTTCATGATTTACATTGTACAATATTGTGAAGGTTCTGGGAAAGGGGCATAACTCTAATTTGATACATTAGATACACATGATATATTTTGTATCCCTATTGCATTCCCTTTCTTTACGTTGTTTTCATTTTGCAATCTACACTTTAAAACATTGTTAAGGCGTGAATTTGAGACAACCAAAAGCTTGAAGGTATCAATATTCTTTTTCTTGGGACAAAATATATTGGATTTAACACATGAATTTAAACATCATCATAATCATTACCCCCTAATCAACACATCACAAAGGCCAGGTTTCAATGAAGCATGGATACACTGAAATATTGCTGTATAGGCAGCGTAAGGCCCAGCTAAATCACTCTTGCTCCACATGAATACCATCAGTAAGAGAGGAGGTGAGTGAATGTTGTTTTATTCCAGTCCTATTACAGCAGGGGCTGTGAAAAATGTTGGGCCTCATATATTGTACATCGTTGTGCGGAACTGGGTCGTGGCAAACATGTATCAGTGTGCACCTGTGTATTTGTTTCAGTAAGTGAGTTGGGTTTAACGCCGCTTTGAACAGTATTCCAGTTATATCACAGCATGTCAGCTTGATGTGGGAGGAAAGCCCGAAGTGATGTACGTCTTTGACGTTTACCCCTTAGGTGAAACCCACGAGCACGGGTATGGTTCTGACAAACCTAGAAACATAATTTTGGCGACCAGGATTCAAACCCAGGATCATAGATTTCTGTCAACTCAAGGGACATAATTAACTCTGCACAGTGAATTAAGGCGCCCCAAGTAATTGTTTGAGTATGACATGCTATAAGTACTTTAATGGTAACCGTCAAATAACTGGAAGTTAATATACATATCTACATTTATGTTTCCAGACAGCAAAGGAGTGAAGAGGCGAGGTGTACATGGAGCCAACTACACAGACCTCATACAAAGCCTGTGTCGGTCAGTATCAACATGCAGAGCACAGGTGGCACTGTTGTCTTTGGTGCCGCACTTCCTCCTCATTGTGATCATTGGTCCGTCAGCACCATTATCATGCCTGCAGCTTGACCATAGTGGTCATCATATATGACCTGTGTAGCTCTGGGCTCTCCTTCCACATGCCTGCCCTCCTGCCTGTGTCTAGTAACTTTTCTGTTGGGCTGCATGAAATTCTTCTCCAACTGCCCGACTGTCTGGCTGTTAATTTTAAGACTACTTACATAGTCAGTTTTATTATACATTGTAACTCCTCATAGATTCTCAATTAATTGTTTGCATTATTTCAACTGAATCAAGATGCGATTTATCTCTTATTTTTAGAGGTTTTAAATGTTCAGTGTTTATAATGTCTGAATGCAGGCAGGTAACTTTGAAGATGGGCAGGCAATATTTATGGGTCACCTGCCCGACTGTCTTGTTGGGTCTTAAAATTGTTTCAAACACTGCATACAACTGACACACTGCATGTAGGAAGTAATTACAGTACCGTTTGAAGCGGTGCCAAACAGCACTTACTCCCCAGCGAGAATAGGTCTTCAGCAACCCATGCTTGCCGTAAAAGGTGACTGTGCTTGTCGTAAGAGGGGACTAACAGGATCGGGTGGCCAGGCTCGCTGATGCATGTCATCGATCCCAATTGCGTGGATCGATGCTCATGGTATTAATCACTGGATTGTCTGGTCCAGACTCGATTATTTACAGACCACCGTCATATAGCTTGAATATTGCAGAGTGTGGCGTTAAACAACAAACAAACAAACAAAATACTCCCCAGCGGGAGCATGGGTGGCTTTTTGGTCTACAAGCGGGTTCAATTCCTGAATTTGTCAACCCAATACCTGTCCTCGTGGCTTTCACCTTCTTCTACAAACAGCACTGAGGGATTCATTTCCTCCCACATTAAGCTGACACGACATCATGTAACTAAAATACTGTCACAAGGATTGATGTACCACCTCACTCAATATCAACAGGCCTTGACACAACATGGAGATCTTTTGTTACCTTGATGATGTTGATGTTCTGGTTGGCAAACACACTACCCATAGCAGGGTTAGACATGGCCAGTAGTCTGTTAGTCCAAGACTAGTGACAATACAGAGGGACTAGTAGCTTTCCAGAGTCATGATTTGTTAATCATGTGTTAACAAGCATTTAGAAATTGGATGTCATGACAAGGCCCAGTTGTCTAAGGCGCCGCGTTTCGCTGTGCAGAGTTGCGTCCCTTGGGCACGCAAGAAACCTATGATTGTGGGTTCGAATCCCAGTTCGCCCTGATTATGTTTCTCGGTTTGTCAGCACCATACCCGTGCTCCTGGGTTTCACCGAAGTGGTAAACGTCTGAGACCTGCATCACTTCGGGCTTTCCTCCCACATTAAGCTGACACGCCATGATATGACTGGAATACTGTTAAAAGCGGCATTAAACCCAACTGACTCACTCACTCCTTACATGGAGGCTCTACCATCAATAATGCATCATTTCCACTGTATTAAAATATGCATGTATGTAAGGTAGAGCTGATGGTAAAGGATTGAGAAGAGATGAAACTAATGTAGTGATTTCCACATGAACAATGCAGTTCTCTGTGTTATTTGTAGGGACATGCCGCCCATGGTGACCAGCAAACTGCGGAAACGGATCGAGTGTACCGACTTTGAAGCCGTTCCTTACGATGTGTTCAGATCAGGGATGTTCACCTGCTGTGTTCTACAAGGTGAGATGTTCACTGTGTAAAGTGTCGAGTTGGAATACATGACCTTTTCAGATGTATTGAGATATTCACAGTTGTCATAAACCTTTTTTTACATTTGATTCTTAGAAATGTTGCCTGCATAAGTAATTAAATCAAGATGTTTATATTTTACTATCCTGCTTTGACAGTGTGGCATTTGCTTTTCATCTTCGATATCCCTAACACAGAGTGAAAACAGCTCCCCCAAACCACCCTGGAGGCCTGTCACCCAGTCGTCTAAGGCTCCGCAATTCGCTGTGCAGAGTTGCGTCCCTTCGGCACGCCAGAAACCTATGATTGTAGGTTTGAATCCCGGTTCTCCCCAATTATGTTTCTAGGTTTGTCAGCACCATACCCGTGCTCGTGGGTTTCACCGAAGTGGTAAACGTCTTAAACCTGCATCACTTCAGGTTTTCCTCCCACATTAAGCTGACACGCCGTGATATAACTGGAATACTGTTCAAAGCGGCGTTAACTCCAACTCACTCACTTACTGTCATCTTATCCAGTTAGATGCCCTTGAACTTCCTCTTGCTCCTCTGGTATGTTAAAGCCAGTTGTTTTCACTCTGTGTTGTGGACATTGTAATGTCTATTACACTGTCAGAGCAAGCTAAGAATTTGACATATAGAATGTTCATATTCCTGTAATGAAAGGGAAATGACAGACATTTGGAGAGCACCCAGAGTAATCAGAGCTTTAAGAGTCGAAATACAATACTTACCTCCCTTCAACTAACATTGAGTTAGGTTTTTGGAGCATAATCAAAATAGGAATGGGTCAATTCAGTCAATTCCATTTTTTTTGGTAGTGATTCTAAATTTTATAAACGGTTGCATCAAAGAGGTGTGTGTGCTTCCCTACACCCTCTCTGTTATCTTATATGTTTCACGTATCATCTGGTTTCATACCCATTACCATATTTAAATGGGTTTGTGTGCCAGTTGTTTACAGGTTTCACAGATCTTGTGGAAGAAGAGTGCCACAGGTAGACCTATATTTGCACAAAAGCTTTGGGAGGAAGAGTTATTTCCCTTTATGCATCTTAACTTGGGCAGTGTTTAAGAGTCACAAATGCTAATTTTTGGTGCTTTCATTCCATTTCAGACTACGCAAAGCTGTCTGAACTTTTGTTCCGCTCACTGGACGTCCAGAACTGTGGTAAGGCTGACAAGGTTCTGTGTGACGCCGTCCTGGACCAGCTTAGGACAGCTCTGGGCAGCTCCAGGAACGACGTCAAGAGGTAGGAGGGCACTTGATACTGACTGTAGAGCCACTCCATGGAGATTCCATCTTCCCGAGGCAAGGGATTTAACTGACTGTAAAAGTCCAACTTCCACCCTTGCTGAACTAGACTGGAATTATGGAGTTATATTTTGGCTGGACTAACAAGTCTATGCATAGTCCAATCCAAATTGCGTTACAAAATCATCATCCTGTTCTTCTTAACCTGCTTGCTGATTTCTGTCGATTGCAGGATTTGCAAAGCATTTGTACCGTCAACTGGGTGTCAACAGATATTTTCCAAATCTTTTCACATTTAATCAAGGTGCTCACATGAATTGATGCACTTCGTGAAGTAAGACCTGTTTTATTACAATAAAGATCTTGATTATCGGTCAGGACATCTTCACTGGGGGCCTCCATTTTGTTTGGAGCAAATGCAAGTGATATCAGAGGTGGAATCTGATTGGTAAAAAGAAGGGATATAACTTGTAATAGCCACTGGTTGCGCTTCGATGGAACCCAGAATTTCCTGCCTTGCCTCGGGAAGATGTGGAGATTCACACTTGTGCATGTGGTCTTGTGGATAGAGCATCTGCCCCAAGAGCATGTCATACTGAAAACGGTAAATGATGGTACTTGTTGTTATCCTGCCTGCATGGTGCTCGGCTTTAGGGGATGAAACAAGGCCTAGTTGTCTCAAAGTCAAACTAATCAGAATGAGAAAGTCGCAATTTGTGACCTGGCTGCACATGTGTCATCGTATCCCGTAGCTTATCAATCACTGGCTTGTCTCATCCAGTCTCCATTTGTAACAGGACACCATGTCATAGGTGTAACATTACTGAATGCATCTTAAAATACTATTCACTCGCTTACCTCATATATATTAGTTCCCCTTTGAAGTCCCTAGCAACCTATAACAAAACTCTGTTGTCAATCCTGTCTTCTGTCAGATATGAGATGATCATTTACTGTTGTGTGTATTTCAGGATCATGGAGTCTGGCTACAACCTCGGCCCAGATGGACTGTACTTTGCTCTTGATCGGGTGAGTCCATGTGTTGCCTGTGTCACTTTCTTCATGTTTATATATACTACTGGTCATAGGGGCCACCAGCAAATAATGTCAGTGGACGGATTATTGCATGCATGAAGAAAATTGTGAAAGATACAGGCTTTTTACACTAAGTTAGGTCTCTTTTCTGAAGTAAGTGTTTGGTACTGTCCAGTGTTAGACATTGGCACTAGTCCTGTAGTCCTTATCAATCTGCCGAATAGTTGAGGTATTATAGGGACTAGTAGAAGTTTGCCCTTTTAAAGGGTTTTGCTATTTGTTATCATTCTGAGGACTAGTGGACTGCTGTCATTGGCAAGACGGACATTTGATTTCTAGCAAGAGTTATGTCCCTTGAAATACACGCGAAATGAACACTCAACATCTAAGACATGGCCTTAAGAACAATCTATTTCCTGAAAAGTTGTTAAATAAATATATGTATTTATAACCTACATTGTTAGTGAGAGATCTTCAAGTTAGAGATGTACATGAAAGGTCTAATACCAGTAAGGTAAATGAGTTGTGAAGTCTTTAACAATGTAGGGTCCACACAAGTACTGGAGCTGTGTTACCTCTGAGCCGAGGCCATGGTTATTTTGTGAAATGGTCAGTGATTGGGGAGGAATGAAGTCTGACTTTGAGATGTGGAATAGTTTTTATATGAATATTTCAAACATAAACTGTTAGGCCAGACCAATTTCTATGTCTTGCCCAATAGTTTTCTTGATGAGCATTCTAAGATGCAGTTGGCAAAATGAAAGAAATGTTGCCTCGGTTTGCTAAAGGGTAATTTCTAGGGTTGTGTATTGATGAAACAGTTGTATAGCAAGTATCTGTATTACAATATGTATTGCGATATTTTGGGAGCTAAATTGTTTGACAGTGATTGACACTGATTGTACATACAATACAGATCCTTTTTTTCTAAATACTACAGTAAATATTACTCGGCGTGGTCAGTTGCCACCATTTTGTAGTCATAGATACAGGGGAGACAACAACATGAGAGAAACATCGCTTTAGTGTCTCCGCTGTTTTGTCAATCAATTTCAAAGGGAAACATCATATGTACTGAATTCCTGCGTAGATTTTAGGTTAAACGATACAAATAATAATGAGACTTGTAATATTTTTTTGTCCAATATACTGGAACAGAAAAAATATTGCAATATGTATCGTTTGAAGTGTGTTGCAGTATACAGTTATAAAGGTAATGCCACGCAGTCCTTGTAATTTCATCAAATATCTGTTCAAAAGAAGGATGTCAACTAACTTGATGGAACACAGAATTTAACAAGTTTAACAATTGTTTTCCCCTCCTCTTTGAAATTTAGCTCAGTCTCATAATTATTATGTTCACACAAGAAAACAATAGGTTTTATGTTGGAGGTAATTTGACCTACTGTCATGATTGTAACATTCATGGATATAGATGTACACTTGTCAAAAATGCGATGATGCAGCTAGAGAGTTGTCTGATTCTGGATACCTGTGTTTACTGTCCAGGAAAGTTCTGACGACATAGTGATTAGTGAGGTAATGTATCCACATATATGTTTGCCTACTAATCATGCTTATATATTTCTATATTTCTACATGTGATGAGGCACTTGTGGTTTACTTACTCTACTGTCTAAACAGTTGTATGACCTTTCACTCTCTGACAGTGTCAGATGACCCTTGAACTGCTTCTTGAAATGGTGGCTGTTTTGTTTTTCCAGTGTTTACCCTTCAGCTGAGGGTTGATAAGCTGAGGTCTTGGTGATATGTATTCAGAATTAACCAACATGTTAACAGATAAATTGCATATAAATGACTGTTTAGCTTCAATAACAACTAGGATAATTTGGATGAAAAGAAATATGATATTATTCAATTCCTATGATAATTTTTCACACCATACCATGTCATTTTCACGTATCTGAATTTTATTAATTTATTTTAATGTACCAGGACATGGTGAAAATGTTGAAACTTTAGACATTGTTTACAAATTTGGGAAGCTGTTCATATTATTTGACCTATATGACATGTAATAAGTCTTCTTCTGAAATGAAAAATCAAACATCAATTTCCCTTAAGCATGTAGAGCCGGGACATTCTTAAATAAGTAGTTAGTTTTTAATCTTTGATAATTAATTATATTGTAGGGTAAGTTATCTGAACTATCCTGACAATTTTACAGATACATGCCACCACGTACAGACACAAGTGCTAAGTCTGTTTATCCTCACAGGCTTCCTTGTGAGGCTAAAAACATAATAGTCTTGCCTCTCAGGCACCCCCCGCATCATCATAGAGTCTGACGCATGTTTCTTATATTTTTTTAAGCCAACGGTGTAGACATGTTTGTTCATTTCAGCATTAATGTAACACAAGATAGCCAGTAGTCTGATGTGCAGTAATTCACTGTACAGAGTTTTGTCCCTTATATGTGCCAGGATTTGCTAGTCATGGTTTAGATCTCCTTGTTGATGGTGCTTGGCCTCATTCACATGTTCACCAAAGTTGGAAAAGAGTCTAAATACTGATGCACTTTGGCCAGTTCTTCCACATATAGGATAACAAATGGTCAGAGAACATGTTTTACACAGTGAGGAAAGAAGTGAATGCGGTATCATCCTTGTGTTACAGGACACACATCAAAGTATGGCAATCCAGTGGTGTTCCTTGGTAGTGAGTTGTCTTTGTTTGTGGGTTGTGCCCCTTGTTTTTCAGGATCCTCCAGGTGTGGGTTTGGATTCCAGATGGTCTTGATCTTTGTTAGCAACATTCCAGAGCTTGTTGGTTTCACTGTGTCCCAGAGAACTTCCCTCCCACATCTAGCTGACAAGTCATATACACTTATAACACTTGAAATTTAACCAACTCATTCATTCATTTCAGGCTCTGAGCCGAGACCGGTCCGGTGGCTTCCAGACCAATGATCAGTTTGTGACGGAGGCGTGCGAGGCTTTTCTAACAAAGGTTAGAGAAGGGTTCATATCTTACTGTATTCCATCTCATGGGACGGGTAACTCGGGTACTCAGGTACTTGGGGCAGGTGGGTACTGGGTAGGACCAGGGTACCCACAGGACTAACCGGACCCGTGGTTAGTCATGTTATATTGTGTTTAATGACACAAATTATCAAGAACTCTTGGATACACTACAAGTCATTGACGTTTGAATTTCTTTCTGACTATGCACCCATTCCTTCTGACTTTTATATGTTTGAGTAAAGACAAAACTTCAGTCAACTTCAGTGTATGCTTGACCAGATCGTTTTATATGTGTATCTAAATACATTTTGCCAGGGCTACAGTCAAACTTTAGTGGGGTGGGTACCTGGGTAGTAAATTTAGACCCGTCCCAGCCGTTGGCACAGAAATATATGAGGTGATGGGTGGACAACTCGTATAGGGTTACACACAACCCAATGTTTTCCCATAGACTCCTTTTGAAACGTTATATTTTAAACTGACTAAGCAGTCAACAGCTATAACATTCTCACATGTGCGCAGTCAGGCCTTAAAACAGCAAAAAAAACAAAAAATTGAAGAGCTTAGGCAGCTTCTTTTCTGAGTACAGGAAGTTAAACTCACTACCCCCAGTTCTGCACTAAATGTCACTTTCTTGAAAATATCTGAGGTCACATTCAGCAAAAAGTCATGATGTTAAAAAAGCTGGCACTAACTATAAAAAAAAATGTGGTCACTTTTAATTACTGGATGAATGTGCATAAAAATCTTACACAAAATCATGCAATCAAAGCTGCCAGGTTCTCGCTCGCTCGCTCACTCACTCACTCACTCACTCAAACACACCCATCCACCCACTCACTCACTCACACAAACCCACCCACCCACTCACTCATACAAACACACCCACCCACCCACCCAATCTTACTCACCCACCCAATCTTACTCACTCAAACAAACACTCACTCAAACAATCACTCAAACACTCAAACATACAGTGTATCACCAATCATAGAATTTGATGTTGTGAGCTGATTGTGATCTTGTATGTCTATGACTACATTATCAATACTTCAGTCTTCAATGTTGGTTTGTTTCTTGCTTAATGCCACACTAAACAATATGATGGCAGTCTGGACCAGACAGTTCAGTGACATCATGAAATATTTACTTGTCATCAATGTTTTACCATTTGTCAATGGACAATCATAAGGCATCAATAATTCAATCAACTGATACTCGCCGTCGCTGCTATCATAAACTTAGTTGAAGTGCTCAGTTCTAAATGAAAATGAGAGCTATCTACCAAACAGTGGGACTACATCAAATTTCAAAACACACTAGGTAGGTTTATCTCCTTAATGTGAGACCCGTGAAGATTCCGGGGTAGAATAGGTCTTCAGCAACCCATGCTTGCCGTAAAAGGCGACTATGCTTGTCGTAAGAGGCAACTAACTGCATCGGATGGTCAGGTTCGCTGACTTGGTTGAAGCATGACATCGATCCCAATTGGGTGGATCGATGCTCATGATATCAATCACTGGATTGTCTGGTCCAGACTCGATTATTTACAGAACGCCATCATATAGCTGGAATATTGCTGAGTGCATTAAACAACAAACCAACCAACCAACCAACCTTAATGTGAAGGTTTACTTGTGTGAGTAAATGTGTATATGTTTTAACATTTATAGTTTCAGTATTCTCTGACAATTATTTAACCTGAAGCCTTTTTTGTTTCAGGTGAAAAAACTCACATGACGTCAATTTCAACTTTTCATCACGTCATTCACGTACCTCACAGTCGTCAATCATCTCACCTCGTTGCATGAACATTGTTTGTTGTCTATAGCGAGCTCCAACTGCTTATTCTTGTTAATATGTGGGATTTATTAACTAAGTTTGTGGTTGAGAATTTCAGTGTGTCAGTGCTTTAATAATTACTAATTGGTACATGCTCTAAATCGTCAATATCCATGTATGTATGTATTATGGAGCTTCAACACAGAACATATTGGCTCTAAACTGTTTCCAGACCATTGTGTCTGTAGACTGACGGACATGTTTCACTTGACAAATTATTAAAATATTTTGTTCACGGTGTCTTGTATGTATCATGTACATATTAATTTATTTTTACACATTAAAAATGTATTTTTGAAAAATGATCATTATATCATTGGAATAACCTAAGTTGTTGAATATCTTTTGAATAAAACATGTTAAATGTAACCTTATCTGCGCCTTATGACATGTGACCTGATTAACAAGCATGTAGTCTATGCAGGTCGGTACCATCTATATGATTAATGTGTCTATTGATGACAAAAGGACTTTGTGGCTTGAGAGAAGTAGGGAGAGACTATTTTTATAAGGGGTATATCTATGTGATACTATTTTCCTAAAATAAATGTAATGTATGAGAAGCCTTATACTTAAGAGTACCATGTGTTTCAGACATAGTTTTGTGTTGACTGTATGTTGTATGCATGGATACTGGTCACTGGGTACAATCCCATCTGTATGTAGTCAGTTAACACTGTATTTCCCTATGTTCTCACATGTTTACAACAATGTCCAGGGGCATGTGAGGCCATGTGATCGATGGCATTAATATTGGCTGTACAGAGTTGCATCCCCTAGCAAGGCCAGGATCTGCTGGTTCATACCCAGATATACCCTGATAATATTGCTGTGCAAAGTTGTGCCCCTGAATCCCTGATTTGACCCAGTTATGAGTTGTCTTGCAACACCAGAGACCCATCCCTGGTGTCCCCGCCGTGATATTGGTGGAATGTTGCTTCTTGAAAAGCAGCATAAACCCAAACTCACTCACTCACTCACTCACATATGGCCATGAACCTGCAGACAAAGGAAATAAATATGAGTGTTCTCTCTTTTTTAAACTTGATGAAATGCACAACTACATACCAAAGCAAACATTCATACTTAATGTGAATCACATCTGTTATGTACACAGATAATGAGATGCTTTGAACATTTTATTTAAAACATTTAAATATAAAACAATAAGATGCCTCCTGACTCTAATTACTACCTGTACTTATGGCTTTATGAGGGCTTTGCTTTCTGTTGTTCTGGGAAATAATGACATATAGTGCATGTTCTGTATAGATCCCCTGTATAGAAACTACCCCACAATTGTCATGAGCTAATTGGTGAGGTGAGATTAGGTGTGGTGAAATGGCATTTAACGTCGCATTCAAGATTATTGCACTTTATGGCGACATGCATGCACGTGTGTGCGTGCGTGCGCGTGTGTGAGCGCTTGTACTAATCAGGACCATTGCCGATTTTATAGTGCTAGCCCACTGTGATATCATGCCGCAGTTTAACATGAATACCCCACTCCTAGCCAACCAGTCTTTATTTTATCACCTTGATGCCTATATTGTATGACACGGCCGGGGGTCAAACCACCAACCTTCCGCTCTCCGGACAGCCACTCAATCCACTACAGAGGTGGCCCAAAGAGCTAACTGAGGATTGGATGGTTACCATGTCTGACCTGGCTGATGGTGTGTTATCACGGCCTCATGGCTTGAACTGTTGGTCATGCATATTTCAGTGTTGCTTATATTTCATATTGGAGTTATAAACAGTTCCAGAGTAGAGACATCCTCAAAGGGCTGTTATATCCCTTAAACACTTCAATTATGGTCCTGTGTTTAAAGTCAACCATGAAAACCGTGGAAACTTGTTAGGAAGGACTGGTGCCTTGACACATACATGTTATGAACAGTACATGAATTAAGACTTCATTTTCATCTGATTGGACTACCGTGCTGTACGTGTGTTTTGTGTTTGAGTTTGCTGAATACTGACACATTGACAAGAATGTACTACAGCTTACAGTGTTTAGTCAGCTGCATGGATCACAATCCCTTCACATTAACATCCACTTGATTCCACTCCCAGTTCCCTAAAGGTAAGAAACCGTTGTCATACATACACACTTCACTCTCATTTCTTGCATCCAAATAACAGTTCATGTTTTCAATAATAGAGTGCAGCAATACATACGGTCTGTTAGTATCATTTTCATGAACTTCTCTAAAGAGTATTAATAAATATTAATTCCTTGTCCTGACAAGGACGTCTGCAAGTGTTTGTCATGTTCTTGATACTTTGAAATTGAGCATTGAATGTTGTGATATTTAAATTAGGCCTCTGTCTGTATGTTTAATGGTGAGGCATCTGTCTGAATAGTTCATGGTGAGACTTCAGACTTCTTGTTTAATTGTGAGGCCTCTATATTTGTGTTAATTAGATTCCTGTTTTCTGGTGTGTTTTTTAATTGTTTGTTTTACAGATTGTTTTCCAAATCTGTAGGATCGATTTTTGGAAACAATGCAACATTTTATGAGTATTTTATGATTTTTTTATATCCCACATACAATGTTCGAAGCATTTGTTGGTTGGTGGATATAAATAAATGAAGTATAGAAAATGGCTTGCAGAATGTGCCAGTCAAGTTTCACTTTTCTGACCATATTTGATTACCTTGAAGTTTTTGACATCACTAAAATGACTTACCACATTCAACAATATCACATTATTCTCCTCAAAATGTTTATTTTATTTCACATTTTGGGTAGCCATATCTGTAACACAATTATTAAAAAATGAAAGTCTAAAATGATTGATGTAGGACAGAAAAACAAAGTTTTGATTAATGATTTTCTTTTTATACAGGTACAAGAGCTGTAACCATGGTAATAGCCTCTTGAAACATGTGAAAGGATAGAGATATCTTCAGCAAAACATGACCGATATATACAATACCATCTTACACTTTTGTTTGTTGTCTATTTTTTTGTTGTGTTTCAAAGTTCAAGTCAGTGTCATTTTGTCCTGTTTCCAAGAATCAAACTAGCTATGAAATGAATTATGTATCCAAGTATGCAACAAGAGCTTCTGAAAATGATAGCTGAGTGTATTCTATCAGTTTGTGTGAATGCTGTTTTTTGCTTTAGTGAGTTAATGTTAGTCTACACTGTTCATAAAGGTGAGGGGGCACGGGTGGCCCAGTCCTCTAAGGTGCTGTGATTCGTGGTGCAGAGTTGCGTCCCTTGGGCACGCCAGAAACCTATGATTGTGGATTCTAATCCTGGTTCGCCCCGATTATGTTTCTAGGTTTGTCAGCACCATACCCGTGCTCCTGGGTTTCACCGAAGTGGTAAACGTCTGAGACCTGCATCACTTCGGGCTTTCCTCCCACATTAAGCTGACACGCCGTGATATAACTGGAATACTGTTAAAAGCGGCGTTAAACCAAACTCACTCACTCACTCATAAAGGTGATGCAATGTAAAAACTACCAAGAACCAGTCTGAATGAAAAGGGGTCCATTGCAACATTTTCCAGGCACAGTTCAGTTCTTAGAATTTTGGCAGTGACAGCATGAGCATGACAGCAATGCTTCGTCATCCTTGGTCAGAAAGGTGACACAATGCAAGCTTTACCAAAAACAAGTCTGTAGAAGAAGGATTTCACTGAGAAGTTAACATTATTATAGGGAACAAGGCATCACAGTACAGAGTTGTGAGGAGGATTTGCAAATGCATGATTGAATAAAATAGTGTGTAGAATAAATATTGCTTTTAAAATATAGTCCCAAGAAAACCAATGCAAATCTGTTCTCAGCTTTAGTGTCTCTGACAACAAATATATAATTATTTGGATTGATCCTTTCTCTGAAGACTCCCAGGAACCAAAATTGGTTATTGCTATTGATTACCATTCCAAATATTTTATTCACAACTTTTGCTGTCTCTGTCCTTTGTTGTCCTTTTTATGACAAACTGCTTCAGGTGTCACTGCTAGTCTTGAATCTTGTACCTGAATCTTCGTGTAGCATATCAGTCACATGTGTAGCAATAGGTGTGTCAAGAGACATAGCCACATGTGTCATACAGGTACATGTAATGTTATGAAGGCTTGTGTAATGTCATTAAGGCATGTGTAATGTCATACAGACACATGTAATGTCATTAAGGCATGTGTAATGTCATACAGACACATGTAATGTCATACAGACACATGTAATGTCATTAAGGCATGTGTAATGTCATACAGACACATGTAATGTCATTAAGGCATGTGTAATGTCATACAGACACATGTAATGTCATTAAGGCATGTGTAATGTCATACAGATACATGTAATGTCATACAGACACATGTAATGTCATTAAGGCATGTGTAATGTCATACAGATACATGTAATGTCACACAGACACATGTAATGTCATTAAGGCATGTGTAATGTCATACAGATACATGTAATGTCATTAAGGCATGTGTAATGTCATACAGACACATGTAATGTCATGAATATGCATGTGATGTTATGAAGGCATGTGTAATGTCATAAATATGCATGTGATGTTATGAAGGCACGTGTAATGTCATAAATATGCATGTGATGTTATGAAGGCACGTGTAATGTCATAAATATGCATGTGATGTTATGAAGGCATATGTAATGTCATTAAGGCACGTGTATTGTCATAAATATGCATGTGATGTTATGAAGGCACGTGTAATGTCATAAATATGCATGTGATGTTATGAAGGCATATGTAGTGTCATTAAGGCACGTGTAATGTCATAAATATGCATGTGATGTTATGAGGCACGGGTAATGTCATAAATATTTATGTGATGTTATGAAAGCATGTGTAATGTCATTAAGGCACGTGTAATGTCATAAATATGCATGTGATGTTATGAAGGCACATGTAATGTCATACATATGCATGTGATGTTATGAAGGCATGTGTAATGTCATTAAGGTATTGTAATGTCATTTAGGCACGTGTAATGTCATGATAGCACAAGTAATGTCATAATGGCTCATGTAATGGCATATTGTTATTTTGTAAGGAATCACTTGGTAATATTCCAGCTATATGATGGTGGTCTGTAAATAATCGCGTCTGGACCCGACAATCCAGTGATTGATATGAACATCGATCTGCTAAATTAGGATGTGATGACTCTTTGAAATGTGATTTGTTGTCAAGATAATTGTTTCAAAATTAAAGTATGATGTTTTGGCTGCTGATATCTTGTTTACTACACAAATTGTTTATTTTTTCATTTACATGATTAAAGAATAAACCAATTAACCCTTCTTGTTATTTATTTGATGCCATGCCATGACCCTGATGAGTCATACAAAGAGAGCGAAGGTTGCGAGCCACCATTGGCAATTTTCTTCTGTATAAGGATGGTCGGAAATAATCAAATCTTAGTAGTGATTGGATAGCATGAGCAACAATCCAGGCAGTCAGGTCACACATTCAACCAGGTGTCAACTCTGTTGTATGCGGGTGTATCATGAATGGACTTCACACATTGTAACCACAGGAGGAATTGAACTCCCATCTTTCACAAGACCTCACTGGTCTAGATTCTAGTATTTTTGTGGGGTTGAGTCCCGTCTGGAATTCGGACCCACACTGCCAGAGTGAGGCACACAAAGTCAGCGATATAACCCACCCAGCAACAGACCCTTCAACAAAAATGGAAGTCCGACAACTGATAGTCTAGATCACGTACTTTGTGTACCCCTCTGACAAGTGTAATCCAGATCTAACCAAGACTATACACAGTTTTACTAAGATGACCCAGATCTTACCGAGACTATACCCAGTTTTACTAAGATGACCCAAATCTAACAGAGACTATACCCAGTATTACTTAGATGACCCAGATCTAACCGAGACTATACCCAGTTTTACTAAGATGACCCAGATCTTACCGAGACTAAATCAAGTATTATTTAGATGACCCAAATCTAACCGAGACTATACCCAGTATTACTTAGATGACCCAGATCTAACCGAGACTATACCAAGTATTACTTAGATGACCCAGATCTAACCGAGACTATACCCAGTTTTACTAAGATGACCCAAATCTAACCGAGACTATACCCAGTTTTACTTAAATGACCCAGATCTAACCGAGACGATCCCCTGTTTTACTTAGACAATCCAGGTCTAACCGAGACGATCTCGTTTTACTGAGATAATCCAGATCTAACCGAGACGATCTCTAGTTTTACTAAGATTATCCCCGATCTTATTGAGACGGAGTTACAGATCACTCGGTCACTGCTTCAAAACGCGCATTTTGTTCTTGTTAAAGAAGCCCGTTCAATGCTGTCTTAATCCTTATCAACTCATTCACTTAACATGCTTCAATGGGATGCTATGATTTAAAACCTGGGTTATTTTCTATCCGACATCAGAACTTTCATCTTCTCCCTTAGTACCTATGATATATTAACGAGACCCTTAAATAATTATTGTATATCGTATACATCTGAACTGTACACCATTTTACACCAGTTAACGCTATGCCATGTTCCATGAAATGAGACTCCTAGTCCGTGTAGTGTAGTGCAGCTATTGACATTTATTTGCAAATGGTACTTCTAATATTTCGTCTTTTGTAACACATACTTGTTCAATCTGACGATCTACCAATGACTGGAGCTGTTTGCTCAATGGCTTGGGCTCTCGATTTAAAACCCAAACATAGGTATCGTGGATGTTGCAGGAACCATCAGCGAGAACCTTCCAACAACTGTAGACCACTAAGTAGTTGACGTAATCCGTGCTTAATATCCAGTATGCTCGGTCGCCTAGCAACCGTCCAATTTGTGAGTTGAAGGTCACTGTGAACCTGCCCGGATGACTGTCGTCGGCTTGTCTTCCGGTCGCCATATTGGATGTGCACGCGACGCCAAACAAGGCCGCACCTGTAGGGTAAATAGAGCCGATGTATCAGTCTAGTTAGAAGCTGGGGATGTTGGTATATGTAATTGCTCTGTTCTTATAAGGAATGTGGCATGTGAGTAGGACATACGGGTTGGACTGTGACATTCAGGTGCACGTTCTGACAACATGGTCGGCTAAATCATGTCATGAACGTCTAGGTCAAGCTGATCCAATACAATGTCAGGTTTTGTCTGACTCGTGTAACATTTGCACTTTTAACTTGTTAGCTGAAGTACATTCAGATGGCGGGGTTAGACATATCATGGCGCATTTAATACAAACGGCGTCACGAATTGTACCCAAGTGAGGAATCGAACCCTGGTCACCTACGTGAGAAGTATGAAATTGCTTTTTGGTTATTTCAACCTCATATTGAGCGAGTCAGCAATATAAGTTTGACGCTGTTTTGGACAGTTTTTCAATCATATATCACGGCGTCAATTTGAAGTTAGATGAAATGAGTGAGTGAGTGAGTTGGGTTTAACGCCTCTTTTAACAGTATTCCAGTTATATTACGGCGTGTCAGCTTAATGTGGGAGGAAAGCCCGAAGTGATGCAGGTCTAAGACGTTTACCACTTCGGTGAAACCCACGGGCATGGGTATGGCCCTGACAAACCTAGAAACATAATTGGGGCGAACCGTGATTCAAACCCTCAATCATAGGTTTCGGCGTGCCCAAGGGACGCAACTCTGCACAGCGAATCCTGGCGCCTTAGACGGCATTAATACGGGTATGGTGTTGACAAACCAAGGATCATAATGAGAATTAATTTGGGAATCGAACCCACAATCACCGGATCACAACACTTATAAGGAAGAAAACTCTGCTTAATAAATTGCAGCGTGATAGAACATGTAGACGACTGGGTCCCCTGCCTCATCAAAGTGTAGACAAACATGTACAATGTCATTTAATTGAGAATTGCAAAATATACAAATGTACTGAAAATGGATTTAAAAAAGTGCATTTCGTTTTCGCGTAAGGGATGAATATATATTCTTACTTGTTTTAATTTCAAGATGTCCATCTTTCAAGAGCTTATAGCGAACAGTTACGTCTGTGGTTGAAGATATCACTGTGGACTTCGGTAGACTGTGAACCCAGAACCGATTCATTCCAACAGCGTACCACAGACCCTCAAGTCTAGCAGAGTCGAACTCAGACTGAGTTTGGATAGATCTTACTTTGCACGCACTGCCCCTGTCCACCAGAGAGGGAGACCGTAGACACCCCTCCACGATGCACATCCATGTCGTCAAGTACCAGACAATATATCCTGCTTCAATACGGCCAGATCGGGGCAGCATGGCTGGTCAGAATAAGAAGATTGACTCGTCAAGCTATCCTAACTGTGACATTAAAAACCAAAATATAACATTCGTACTTGACACGTACGTGAATGCGGACTGACGCCTTTGCACAACAATTAACGTGGGTTTCTGGATGTTTGTTTCCACTCACCACGAACTCTCCGTGCTGTTCGTTTCCTCAAACCACGTACTCTCCGTGCAACATACACACGCAGAGTCACGTGTTACTGAAAGACGTTCTTAGTGTGCTGTGAAAGCCAGTAATCATAATAAAAAACGTTTTCAAAGTCATAAAGGCTCGGTTTTTAAACTGGAAAATAGACTTTCTAAAGAATAAAACAAATTGAAAATGTAATCATATTTTGCCTGGAAATTTGTTATGTTCTTCACAGGATTTATGGTGAGAGTATCGTTATTTTCGTTGTCATTTAGAGATATATAGAGTTTGAAAGGAAAATGTGAGGTGAAACGTTTTCAAACTTATCATATTAGTACACAAAGTTGCCATAATCTGTCCTAACCAGTGGTTTGAAGAAAGTTAGATGATTTAACTGCCTGAAACCTATATAATCCTAATCTACTAAGTTCTTACAACTTTTCAGTCATCGCGAGTGAGTAAATATGGTTTTACGCCGCTTTTAGCAATATTCCAGCATATATCACGGCGGGGGACACCAGAAATGGGCTTTACGCATTGTACCCATCTTGGGAATCGAACCCGGGTCTTCGGCGTGACGAGCGAACGCTTTAACCCCTAGGCTACCCGACCGCCACTTTTCAGTCATCAAAACGTATATATTTATGTGGGCACTGTAACAACTGCCTTTGAGTAGCTATACTGTAACGCCGAACACGAAGCCTTCACAACTCACCATGATTTGAATGAATAAATGTGTATGGTTTTACGCCACTTTTAGCAATATTCCAGCTATATCACGGCGGGGGTCACCAGAAATGGGCTTCATACATTGTACCCATGTCAGGAATCGAACCCGGGTCCGGCGTGACGAGCGAACGCTTTAACCACTAGGCTACCCGACCGCCCCTCGCCATGATTTGATAATGTTTAGCCACGGGTTATGTATCAATAAAGACCTGTGTTTTACTATTTGTTTGTTGTTTAACGCCGCACTCAGAAATATTCCAGCTATATGACGGCGGTCTGTAAATGATCGAGACTGGTCCAGACAATCCAGTGATTGAAATTATGAACATCGACCTACGCAACTGTGATAGGGTGATATGCATCAACCAAGTCAGCGAGCCTGACCACCCGATTCCGTTGATTGCCTCTTACGACAAGCATGGATTGATGAAGAGATATTCTCTACCCGGATCTTCACGAAACGCGCTCTACAAGAAAACTACTTCTTTTTCAAAATGAAGCAATAAAATTTACATACGACTTGAATCCATCAGAGGGACGAAGGAAGTGTTAAATGTATTTATATTTGTGATAGCATTCCCTACGGGATAGAATTATGTAATCATAGTGTAACTGACAAAATAACCTAAATCACAAGTAGAATGGCCAGACGCATTACTCTGGTTAAACTCCCCATGGCTTTCCAGAGAGAATACACTTACCTTCCCGCAATGATAGTATGCAGTTTTACGCATGGCACTCTTTTCCTTTTTAAACGTGTTTTTGTCCACCTAAATCGGATCAGATTGCGAGGCACGTGACCTGTGTTTGGACTGGAGTGTTGTATGTGGATATAACATTGACACATGCAACGCCGGCTTGTGTGGCTATAGGTCAACATGAGGCACACGCCCAGACACATGCCCCACCTACAGGCGCCACCTGATGCCTTGCTGTGACTTAACGCGACAGAAAGGCGAATCGTGTAGCAGCTAAACGTGTAATTATATACTGATTTAACTTAATGGAAATGCCAGATACAAGATACCCTAGAAAAAGTTACAATATGTTAATTCAAAGTGCAAGCCATAGTAAGATAAACTGGGCTTCCAAACTTAAATCTTTGTTATATCGCTTTGGAATTTCGATATGTATGGGACGCTCCAAATGTTTCACTAATTGAATCGTTTATTCCAGAATGTGTTATGAGATTTAAAAGTGCTTTTGAACAGGACTGTCATTTCTCATTTTCAAACATTTCAAAAACACAAATGTATTCCTCCTTTAAACCACTTCTTAATGTTGAATTATATTTGAAAGGAAAATGTACAATAGCTTTGTCACAGTTCCGTTGCATTTCCCATAATCACCGCATAGAAACGGAACGGCATCATAATATCCAGGGGTTGCCTGTACTGCAATACTAATGTGTTGGTGGGGGAATATATTGATTTGTGTTCTACATACAATACGTAACGAGAAAGACATGTCCCAAACTAAATCGTTATTCACCCAACACTGTTTAAGTATAATTCGTTACTATATACATCTAATGTAAAGTTAATTAAAAATCCTGCTACATCCATTTATCATGCCAATAATCTTTGGATAAAACCAAACTATGTGCTGTATTTCTTAAATTTGTTCTGTACATCACGTGTTTACTGTGCACAGTTGGACCATTCACCTGATGAAGGCGTAAGCATATACTCCGAAACGTTGTGTTCCTCATAATAAAGAAGTTGACATACAAATATTCTCTTCCCAATTGCATGTTGTGTATTTGACCGATGACCTACATTCTGACGAAATAAACAACATCTTAGTCTGTGAACTTCAATATTTCCTGGCCAGATCAGGCCTTATTCCCACATCCCACCAGCACATTCACAGATGTGCCATTGTCGCTCGTACCTGCCTCGTGAAGATCCAGATGACTAACCCATGTTGACCATTAACCAACTTTGTTGGTGCATGACTTTTATCCAAGTTATGTAGGTCGATGCCAATGATGTCAGTGGATGGATTGTCTGGTCCAGACTCGATTATTTACAGACCGCCGTCATAATACTGTTAGGTGCGGCGTTAAACAACAAACACACACTCGTACCTTTATTGCTAGCAATCCGGTAAACACCTGAATCGATTTTTGAAATTGCGTTAATCCTCCACTCACTCACTCACTCACTCACTCACTCACTCACTCACTCACTCACTCATCTTTCTCTTTGATCTGAACTCAGAACCCCAATGTACTGTTGTAGGTTGCTACATATATCACAAAGTTTATATATCAGAGACACGGAGAAATGACTGTATCCAAATGAATGGTGCCATTTGACGTTCAACCCGTGAAGATTCCGGGGTTGAATAGGTCTTCAGCAATTCATGCTTGTCGTAAAAGGCGACTAACGGGATCGGGTGGTCAGGCTCGCTGACTTGGTTGATGCATGTCATCGATCCCAATTGCGTTTATCGATGCTCATGATATTAATCACTGGACTGTCTGGTTTAGACTCGATTATTTACAGACCGCTGTCATATAGCTGGAATATTGCTGAATGCGGCGTTAAATAACCAACCAACCAAACAACCAACCAACCATTTGACGTTCAAACACGTATTTGATCAGGATCAATCAAGGAGCAAAAACTTTATTTATGATAATACAAATTCATGCAAAGACAGGGATATGTTTTAAACAGTTGGCACTCTGTCAGGGCACGTGCTTCCCACCCCCAGGGTGAAATCATCGGGATCCCGACATGCGCAGATGTTTTCTTGGAGAACATCTGTTAACTGTGATGGGTCTGCGCAGTCTTCGACGTCGGCGGTGACCTTCCCCCAGACGTTAGTCTTCCTAAGGTCTTGAGGGGAACGGGTGAGGACGATGGTTTGAATGTCTCCGTATTCACATTTGCCGGCGAGGTTGACCCCCCAGCAGAAGAGGACCACAGCGTAATTGTCGTAGTCTGTGGCAACGACGTGGTGGAAATAGGTAAACTCCTTGAACAGCCGGGTACCCGGGCTGTCGACAGTGACGTTGACAACGCGTCGGTAACACAGTCCATCAATGATACTCAAACCTGGGAAACGGAAATCAAATACTGACATTCAGTACATGTGAACATGCATTGTGTAACCTTGAATGCTATGTATTGCTATTTTAAAGTATACCATATCCCATATGTCCATGATGAATGTATTGCTATTTTAAAGCATACGATATCCCATATTTCCATGATGAATGTATTGCTATTTTAAAGTATACGATATCCCATATTTCCATGATGAATGTATTGCTATTTTAAAGTATACCATATCCCATATGTCCATTATGAATGTATCGCTGTTTTAAAGCATATGATATCCCATATGTCCATGATGAACGTATTGCTATTTTAAAGTTTACGATATCCAATATGTCCATGATGAATGTATTGCTATTTTAAAGTATACGATATCCAATATGTCCATGATGAATGTATCGCTGTTTTAAGGCATACGATATCCCATATGTCCATGATGAACGTATTGCTATTTTAAAGTTTACGATATCCCATATGTCCATTATGAATGTATTGCTATTTTAAAGTATACGATATCCAATATGTCCATGATGAATGTATTGCTATTTTAAAGTATACGATATCCCATATGTCCATGATGAATGTATTGCTATTTTAAAGCATACGATATCCAATATGTCCATTATGAATGTATCGCTGTTTTAAAGTATACGATATCCCATATGTCCATGATGAATATATTTCTATTTTAAAGTATACGATATCCCATATGTCCTTGATGAATGTATTGCTATTTTAAAGTATACGATATCCCATATGTCCATGATGAATAATTATAATAATGTTTTCCTTGTTGAGTATTAACTCTTAAAGGCATACTAATTGATTGTTTGATGTTTGACTCTGCACAGAGCCATATCCCAGCTATATCACGGTCTGTAAATATTCGACGTTGGATCAGGCAATCCAGTTATTGACATCATGAGTAATGATTTACGCAATAAGGTTAAGATGACATGCATCAACCAAGCCCGACCACCCGATCCGGAACGGTACATGTTACACTATCGTCTCTAAATCATCCATTTTTTCAAAGGTGTACATTTTCCTAATCCTACCAGTTACAAATCGTATTTGTTTCTATACGTAAAAGGCGACTATGCTTGTCGTGAGAGGCGACTAACGGGATCGGGTGGTCAGGCTCGCTGACTTGGTTGATGCATGTTATCGTATCCCAATTGCGTGAATCGAGGTCAATCACTGGATTGTCAGGTTTAGACTCGATTATTTTCAGACCGTTGTCATATAGAGTGTGGTGTTAAACAACAAACAAACAAACACAAATCGTTTAAGCCCGGAAGATCGGTGGGTCGACCCCCTGGCCGCCCGATACCAAACGACATTAACAGAAGGTACTTGATATTAAAGGGATAGAAATGAGTGGTCGGCTCGGAGTCAGTATAATGTGTCTGGGTTGGGTATTAATGTTAAGCTGGGCATGGTGGGTTAACACTACAGAAACAGCACTACTACAAGCAGCAACACACCCTCGTCTCGATATGAGTGCGACGTTAAGACCCACTTCACTTCATCACACGTCACCGTTCAATGCAGCCAAGGTGCAGTTGGTATTGTGATCACCACCATGAGGTTCAAACGACGACGTGTACCAACGGAAATGGTCTTATTTTGCTTTGTTATTTACCTTTCATCTTTAGTATGTATATACAGAATAGAACAGGGATCATGCATCATGTTTTGATCTTGTACAAAAGCAATATTTGTAAAAGAATATACTTTTCTTATTTGATAACATCCAAGCTCATTTAAAACTCAAGTGTATATATCGATAGCTGCATACACGTCAGCATACAAGACTTGTGTTCGTTGAGTTAATCAAAGCGGTCGACGTTCGCCATCTGCGCCACTTTGGTCTTTTCCCCAAACAATAAGCGTGCATTCCTTCCTATGACTGAAATACTGTCGAAAGCGTCATTTAACCCAAATACTTATTGATTATCTGCAAAACGTGTTGCCCAGAGGGTTGGTATACAGTCGATCCCACACGTGTCTTTTGATATTTGATATATCATCAAGACATGAGAATGAGAAATTTGTTATACCAGATTTTTCTTCATAATTATTAACAACTACTATTTATCAATTTAGATGATTACCTTGATGACCATCTTGAAATCAACTCGTGAGAAAATAACAAAATGCTAAAACTGAAAACAAATGAAAATGTTTTATAAGAGAAATAAGTTTAAAACAGAAACTTCTTTGTTGGATTTGAACATTAAACCCCATGCTAGTTCTCAGGAAAACAGTGTCACCTCCACAGATGTCGTGTGATGGATCTGTCAGCGTAAGTATCCAGTTTTGAATACTACTGCGTCAAGCCTACTCACCCGCTGCTATGTTCCACCGCCTGGATCCTGGCATGTACACATAGATGGACTGAGCATCCATGGCGCGGAACCCTGGACGGTACGGGAGGTAAGAGTACCTGGCGTACCAGTAACCTTGGAAACGCTCAGGGTTAAGGTCGCCGGCGTCGTTGAGAAAGCTTTGCACACATTTGTCACTGTCCACTGCCAGTGCTTGCAAGACAAAGCCCAAACAGGTTAATAGTAAAATTGTAGCTTTTACAGTCTGAGACATGATCGCATCATCCGCTACCCTCCGCGTCTTCTTCTCAAATGAAGCAGACGACACTTAGGAAAACGCAGACGAAAAAGAACTATGGAGCGTTGGCGGCGGTGTTCGCATTTCGAAACATTTCAAGCCGAAGGTAATTGCATTCTGTGAATCACACCGCGTTTCATGTTTTTAGGAAACGTTTCTTGTTAACTGTGAGGTAAATGTCACATGATACAGAGGACAAAACTGAAGGAGGACAGTCTCAGGTCTTAATAATGTTGACTAAAGTAACGTATTCCCTATAATAAGCGCAATGACCCTCATCCTTTGAACAAGCTTCCAACAGAACATGAGGCTCAGCGGTAATAAGAGACCTGGGTGCTGTTGTTCAAAATAACCTTAGCGCTACGAGTGTGGTAAGTCTTTGTTAAGGTATGGGAGTTACGATCATCTTAGCGCTAAGATCGCGTTGTTTTCTGAATGGAAAACTCATTCTTAGTACTGATAAACTACGGTGGTAAAACCTTGCTTCTTAGCTTTTATTTTATCGGGTAAGTAGTAATTGACACAAACATCTAACACACCAGTAACTCCCTCTATTGAAACCACTACCCAAACTAGAGGACGCCATCCAAAGTAACGAATTGAGTGTCCCCGTGTCCCTCAGAAAAGTAATTGGCCATAATGTTGATTTATCCAGTTGAAGCAATGCCAGACCTTTTGAAAATTAAGGTTAATTACTCCTCCCTAACAGCAGGAGACACTCGCATACTCATCCTCAGTTACACTGGGACAAAAGCATGGGGAGTGGTTTGTGATCATCATTTGGCTTTGAGTATACGACACGTTGAAATCAGATGAACTGCCTTGTGTCAATATTTACATACAACACCTGACGACAAACCTGGATTCTGTTTCAAACCAACTAAGGTATCTGACTTCCTAGGGAACGAACTACCTGAATTGATAGTAATCGAACCCGTCTGAACAGAAGTAGCTGACCAATTCTGACCTGAATTACCCGACTGACCTGACCTGGAAGTACCATGACCATTCCTAAAGTTATTCCTGTGAGTAACCGAGGAATTATCTGTCAAGGTTGCAGATATTTGTAACTGATCCACCTTCTGTTCATTCAAATAAGTCTTAATCTCAGAACGCACAAACTGCTTGAAATCTTCCAACAAAATTAGCTGCCAGCTCTTGACCAACATCCTTCGACAAACACCACCTATCCGACAACATCACCTTTTCCCAAGCAAGCCCCACACAAGTATAGCCAAAGGAACCAGATGCAAGCTTTATAACATTTTAAACTATGTGGACGTGATCTAGAGACAGATCTATACTTTTTAGCCTACTTATACCAAACAGTATCTACATCTTTCATCTTGTCACCCGAGTCATACAAAAAGAAGCATTCCATCTGCATGATTGTGTCAAATGTGTCTACAAGGGACATACGACTTGCAGAACTAAAATCATATCTACAATCCCGTGGATACCCGATTGAACTTGTGGAAGAGGGAATGAACAAGGCAACGGCCACAGACAGAAAGACGCGGTTTGACCACCAACATGGCTGACGTGATGGATTCCTGAATACCCCTATTAGACTGACTGTACACCTTGTAAGACTGACTGTACACCCTTAAGACTGTCTGTACATCCCTGTAAGGCTGACTGTACACCCCTATAAGACTGACTGTACACCCCTCTAAGACCGACTGTACACCATTAAGACAGTCTGTACACCCCTTTAGAGTCACTGTACACCCCTATAAGACTGACTGTACACCCCTGTAAGACTGACTGTACATCCCTGAAAGACTGTCTGTACATCCCTGTAAGACTGACTGTACACCCATCACAAGGGTCTGTCCGGTTGGAAAAACCGAGGCTCAGACCAGGCGCCGGAACGGACCAATCAGCGCTACGTTTTCGACCAATCAGGTAGCAGGGTTTCAGTACCGCTTCTATAAAAAAAAAGAGCGAAGCCAAGCACACCGTCACAATCCTAGCACTGAATGAGAGATCAACCATGTCGTCTCGATACACCTGTATGAAGTGCCAGAGCAACAGTCAACAATGTCCTCGGATGAGTAAAGTCTATTCGTGGACAGTAGTGGCCTACCCACCTGATGAATCGGAGACGATTTTATCGCAGAGCCCGCACTGGTTAAAGAACAAGTCTCAGGCTATTGCTGCATTACAACGACCTATACAACGCGGAATTGACGTACCCGACTGTTGGAGTGGACCGTATTATTATCTAGTATCGCGATCAAGGAAAGTAATGTAAAACAGAGACCAGCCTTGTCCAGTTTGTTTCCAGTATTTTTCCAACGGCCCTTTTCGGGGCCACCCCACTCTCCCAAAAGAACGCTTTCATCATTGCTTTGCCTACCAACAACAACCAAAAAAAACCTCCTTCTCCCTCCTCCACCTCCTCTCCCCTCCTCCAACAATGCCTATAAAGGAAGAAACAACAATAATTGATGTTGAGAAATTAAACTTAGATGGGGCGACTACAGCAAATTAAAATATAAACGCCTTGCAGGTTGGACAAAACGAAAACCTCTGATTACCATGATTACCCGAGTTTTGTTAAAAATTTCATATTGAGGTCTGTCTTTAACCAGCTGATCAAATAGCCTACAACGTAGATCTACGTTTAAATTGTATTATATTATCTCGCGAATCAATTATCTTCTCCAAAATATATGAGTCCTCCCCCTCAGCCTCAAGACTATGCAAAACAAACTACATCTGGAGGAAGCCTGGGCCGTTTCGAAACAATAGGCGAGGCAGGCCTCAACTCTATGTTCCTGGATGGCCGACCCAAATCAACCCTACACACCAGAGATTCAGAATATTTCAACATAAGGGAATTATTACAAATATAACATCTAATCAAACTTTTGTCTCGGAAATACAATTAAATTATTTTTCATCCGAAAATCACCCCATCATATAAGCTTCTGTTTTTAGAATACTCAAACATAGTTACAATGTATAACCATAGACAATACCTAACTTTTGAGATCAGATATGATAGCCTTGTAAAATACATCCCTATTAATACCTAATTAACAGCCAGATTTAAAACTAATATTTGCCTATATGTGAAACGGTATCTTTGTTACCGTTTAGAATGGGTGAAACAACTTGAGATATCCAATAAATTTGAAACAAGTGAGTGAGTGAGTGAGTGAGTATGGTTTTCAGCAATATTCCAGCAATATCATGGCGGGGGGACACCAGAAATGGGCTTCGCACATGGTACCCATGGGAATCGGACCAGGGTCTTTGGCATGACGAGCGAACACTTTAACCACAAGGCTACCCCACCGCACCCTTGCAAGTGAGGAATTGGCCATAGACACTGAAACATCTTGACAAAGAGGAAACAGTCGAGGCTGTTCCGTGTGAGGGAGAATGTGTATCCTCCACATTTGCATGGACATAGAGGAATAACTCTTACTGGCTCATTCTAAATATTTATGAGTTTAACAAAAACATCCAGTATGGGCACAGTATGGATTTACTAGCTTCAGCAGTACAACAGAGACTGCACAGTAGTTCCCTACTGCTTTACTGAGGAATGCTCTGACAATGTGTCTGTGACAACTTCACAGTTGCAAGAGCTGGTGTTCATTATCCACTCGGATAGTCAAATGAATTCCATCTCAAGATATTGAATTTCGGGGATTGAGTCTGAATTCACTGACATGACAGTTGGACGTACTGAGAGAGGAAGGCATTTGCTCTTCACAATGCCTGCTCAGAGCTTCAGACTAAAACCAGAGCCACCGTTCAGGAAGTCGCACATGTTGTTGGCATGCTCGTTAGCAGTTTTCAAGGGGTGACATTTGGACCATTATACTACAGAAATTTATTAATGCTTAAATCTCGGCCTTGAAATTAGCAAAAGGCAACTTATGAGCCAAAATGTGTGTCACCTCTGTAATGAGGAATGATCTTGTGTGGTGGATACAAAATAAGGCCAGGGCTCGACAAACAGTTACTGTTGTGCATGAGCCACAGTAAGAAGCGGTCCTGATTGCACCCAACTGGCCAACTTAGCCCTGGTGTACGCTACATGTGACTATGGTGATGGACTGCCCGAGGATTCTGCCACGGAGAATGGATATTCTGATTCTACCTCAAAACGGTGATCTGCATCCCTTGAGGAGACGGATTTTTCCAATGGCATGTCCTTTAGAAAATACAGGAAGCCCTACCACTGCCAAACATTCTGAGAAAATTCTAGACATCATCATACAGTCTTGGAGATAGGCCACACATGCTCATTACACAAGCCATCTCAACAAGTGGATGCTTTTCTGAGACACAAATCCCCTTCAAGCCAATGTAAACAATGTTCTGTGCTTTGTTCAAGTACTGTATAATGACGGTATTAGTTATACATGCCCTACTCTTCCCACCTATTTATGGTTTTCTTTTTTTTAAAAGGGTGACAATCTTGTGTTACAGACTGACGGAAAATAGCAGTGGACAATCTCGTGCAAACATTCAGCATTCATGTGACGTAGCAGAATCCCATACAAACTTCAACTTACAGGAGAACAATTCATGTCGTATTATTATAGCGTGAGTTTCATTATATCCCTTCACAGAGCTGTTGCAAAATGGCCACTTCGTGCGTTTCTTTATTAGCTACCGGCTGTGCACAAGAATATAACAAGGGCGAATACTATGACATTGTTTGGTCAATATGTTAGATATGCACTGCATCAATATTTATCCTACTCTACTAGTATTTCGCTGCTGAGCTTGCAGCATCTTTGAGGTCACGATTGGAAATGTATAGGCTGTATATTTTGGTGCTGGTTTTCTTCACAATTTGGAATAAGGATGAATGTGTGGCACTGACGCTGGCTGAGGTATGTTTGTTATCTGTATTTTTATGTTTGCATTGACTTCAGTGATGTGAGCATGAGATGTGGATGAGTGAAATTCCCCTGCACAGTAAACAGTGTTTACTTTGTTTAAAGAAGACGTACCTTGTTGAGAGAATTTTCGGAATTAATTGAGGGTTTAATCTATATTCC